GATCAACTCACAACTCACAAGTCGAGAATTTTAGGGTTTTCTATGTTATTCAACTCCGAATGTTACAATTCGTGAATGAGGTCTTTTATAGGCTTAAACAACTACAAACAAACTACAACTAAAACTGAAATTAACCTAATTCAGAGGATACCCACTTTGGAGGTTCGGATCACTCAAGTCATGTGATGAAAATGGGAGTTTGATAGCTTGTTTTGCATATAAGAACTTTATATACATGATGGTATGCTTGGTTGATTAAGGAGAAGCCCAGAAGGCTATTTTCGAATCTCACCAACATGCTATAGCTCAAAACCAAGAAATTGCTTGTTTTTTGCAAAGGCATGTGACGAGTTCAAGGTGTCAACTTTCGAGCTTGATAGCGGGAGATGGGGACACATCCAGCTGATGATTCAAGTTGCAATAGAAGGTATAACACATTCTAAACCCAGGGAAGGCATTGGGTGAGCTTGGATCGGCGTGGAAGACCTTGTTCGAGGGTCTCGAAGAAGCTACCTCGAGTTGCATCCAACCCGAGTTCCATTCGAATTCCGAGTCCTTTGTGGATTACTTGTTTAATTCGTTTCCATGTTGAATTAGGTTAATGACCTTGCCTTTTGTTCAGTCAATGGAAGCTTCAAGGTCAAGCAATTTGGGATCATATCAATTGGAATCTATATATGTTATTAATTTTGATTCAGGTACAATTTCACGACTTATTTATGGATCAAACCCTCGTATTGCAAAGAGTACTGTGAATGTTTGTCTCTAGATTCAAGTTCGTGGAGCCAAGATCGCGAATGCTCATCGCAGACAAGTCAGGCCCCGTAAAGGCTCAATGCTTATAAGGTGCGGCTTAGAGATCATTCAGGGCTGATGACGTTGCCACCCTATTCAACTAACTCAAGCCGAGGACCCAAGATCACGCGCCTATAAATTACTCCTATACTCCCTACCCTATCACGAGATTTAGCTTGTACGCACCTTTATTTATATATATATATTCTTCTAGTTTTCGTAGATTTCCTCTCATTCGATTTAATAGTTCGAAAATATTTCTTACACCAACGTGTATCTAACATGTTCGTAGATACATTCGTCCCCAAGCTCTGATGGCATCGAATCAAGAGTCAAAAATCGTCATTTTTGTGTTCATAAATCATATAACCCAAGAATCACCTCGAGAAAAAAATGTTCCAAAACGAGTCTACAAATCCATTTACGTTTATGAATGTGAATGACTATTCATGATATTATTATAAACAAGAAAGTGACTCCTGAAAAGGAAATGGTAAATCAAAATCAATACACATGGCAAAAAAAAAAAAAAAAACATGGCCATGTGAAAGTGAAACTTCCATATGGGCATGATCATATTTTATGATGGATCATAGTTGTGACCACTCAACGCATTCAATTCTTTCCTCTATTTAAAAATAATGTAAATTTTGGTAAACATTGATAATATTTATTTGTTTTCATGAAGATTTCGTTACAGAATTAAAAATTAGTTGGAATTATACGGTACTATTAAGTAGTACCATGGATAATTGGATATGCCAAATCTTCTATTCTTTCACATCATTAGATCAATTGTTACTGGATTGGTAATTAGGGTTTGCTTCTTAGTTCTTCCGAGTACTCGTCAATATTGTCTACTAGTTTCAACATCTATAACTTGATCGCTACAATTTTTAACACGTACATTTAGACAAGTGCATCGAGCGTTCTAACTAATATAACAATAAGTGGTCGCTTAGAAATGAATAAGGGGTCGTTTGGAAGCTTTAATTTCCGAAATAGTGTGCTACAAGAATTTATATATTCAGATTATGTGTATTGTGTACTAAGAACGTGTTGGTGTTAAAAATTTATTATTTGGAAAATTTTAAGAGAATGTATGAATTATACCCTTAATAAATTACAGATAACAAATCATACAAAAAATAATGGATAGCGAATCTTATAAAAAATGTGAGATTCAGTATACATCATTTTTTCTATGTATTATGAATGGATAATGTATTCTCATTACATGCATTTTTTTTACTCAAACCGAATAATAAACATTATATTATATAGGACACATGTATACTCATATATTGAACGCTTTGTAACATTTCTCTCACTCCAATTTCATTTTTTCCTTTGCTATAAAGATCTTGATATTGCACTATATTGTCAAATTCTTCATGATTATTTTTCGCCTTAGCATGTGAAATTTGACACTTAAAGTTGGATCTGACCACTGACACCAACGTCTATCCTAAGCTTTTATTTCCAACTTAAGCAACAATATGTATAGCTAATTGTATTTCGGAAGGAATATTCCTTTTGGTATCTAATATTTTTATGATACAATACTTATTAAAAAAACGTTTGGCAGGAAACGTATCGGTTATCACATTCATAATATTTCAATTTTGATTCAATTTGTTTCTAATTGTACCCAATTCCGTTACTTTAAAAAAGGACAATATGATTTTGGATTGAAGCTAGCAAGTAGCAAGTGGTAACTGGAAATTGATCATACGAAAAAAAAAACAAGAGATTGTATAAGATAAGTTAGCCAAGTTTTATCTAGTGACACAATAACAGGTGATTGAACGTATGTTGGCACGTCTCCGAAAGATTCATTGTGACAGATCGTACGATAGCGATTCATAGGAGGCGACTTTTGGAGGCTATATTATTTACTCTAATGGAGATATTCATAATGAAAATGTTGGTAGGATTATTTATTCCTTCCCGATTGAAGCAAAAACTGAAGCCGATAACCATATGTTGGTGGCAGCTATTCAGAGTGATCCAACATTGTATCCATGGCGTTGTTATGCGTCCCTCGCCTCTATCAGCACGACTCGGCAAAGTTTTGTTATAAAAGTTTAGGGATTTGTTATTTTATTTGCAATATCAAATTTTATTTAAATATGAATATGGATGATAAGTAAATTATCTTCATAAATATTTGGGTTATAGGTATATTCAAGGTTCTAAAAGGCGCTAGGCGTAAGGCATGCGCTCGGCTCCTGACTTGCGCCTTGCCCGATTAGGCGTAGCCTAGGCGCGCCTAGGCGTTCAGAGCATAAATGGAAAAATTCTCAAATATTTCCTATTTTATGGAATGATTCATATAATCCAAGTGCATATAAAATTAGCAATGCCTAGTTCTAAACAGTAAACACTTAACATAACAAATAACAAGCAAATAGTGACCAATCATCTGCTAATAGGTGCTTATAGAGGCAATAAGCTTGTGCTACGTACCGAGGAGAAGGAAGGAGCAACAATTGGCGAGTTTCGACTTTATTTCCCACTATAGCAGCGGAGCGGTGTGAAAGAGAGAAGAGTGAATGACTTTCTCCTGCGGCGGCAGAGAGCAGCAAATGGGGCGGGAGCTAGGGTGGCAGGCGGCAGCAGATGTTACTTCCCGTGTTTCTGATTTTCTAGGGCAAGAGGCAAGTTTCTGATTTTCTAGGACCAAACGAAGAGTATTGGGTCTAACCGCCTAAGCTCGCCCAGGAACGCCCAGGCACGCCTTCTCTCCACTAGGCGCAAACTAAGCGCTATTCCTACCTACTAAGCGCTACCAGCGCCTTTTACAACGCCTATGGCCAAGTCAAGGCGATCCTCCACCGCCTAGCGCCTAATTGAGCCTAGGCGTGCGCCTAGGCGCGCCTTCTTGAACCCTGGGTATATTATGCCCTTCTACTTTGCATTTTTCTCAAACATGTCTCTCTACTATAAATCACATCATACCTACCCTTATAATATTACGCACTTCTCAAACATGCCCTTCCATCTATTTTTCTGTCCCACAACCATTAGTCTTGTCCAACCTGATTTTGGACAAAACGATCTGATGTAAATGAGAGGGTGAATAACAATTTTAATTACCCTCCTCTAGCTCCAATATCATCGTCCCCAAAAATCTATCACACACATCGACTCCTTCCCTCTAGTAGCTCACGATCCCTCTCCGATCCACACCACCAGCCACCACACCACCTTGATTTCATCAAACCGATGGTGGCTTCTGCCTCTAACTTGGTCATCGATTTCCTCCACTGGGGCAACCCCCACTCCCAACCATCTGGCGACTTCGACTGTATGTTTCCCCTAAGGTGGTCTGACGGGTTTCGATTTGAAGGGAAAGGAAGAGGCTGATGATTTGGGGGATGTGGAGTTGAAACAGAGACAGAGTTGGGATTAGGGGGGTGTGGGGTTTGGACAATTTTTCTTTTTATTTTTCTATTAAGTTTTTCATTAATCTATGTGACAATGTTGTTTAAAAATGTCACCACCACCTCAGGAATGTCGTTAGTCTAGTCAGCTATTTGGTTAACACCGTCAAAGAATTGGACGGAAGTGGCTATTATTGGTATTTCCCCAAAAGTGGCTATATTTGGCAAAACCGTCAAAGTTTTGGCTATACAAGTGTATTTGGCTTTAATATTATAAGGGTAGATTTGATGTGATTTATAGTAGAGGGGCATGTTAGAGAAAAATGCAAAGTACAAGTGCATAATATACAATAACCTAAATATTTTTATATATAATTAAATTTATTTAATGTTAATGGTTTTTCACACTTATTCATATTTTGTTAAACCGACATGAAATTATACAAACCAGTTGCATCACTTGTCAAATCATTCCACTTGTCAAAAATGCACAACAATATGAACCAGCTTGGTAGCGTTGATTATTAGCAAAAGAATCGATATGTTTTCTTTATTTTTTTGGTAATTACTAAAACATAATTATATATTTTACTGATAATTTATCGATATAATATCGACCAAAGCAATTCATAATTATATATTTTCCTTGTTTGTGATTAATGGCGAAAGTGAAACTTCACAGTCATGAATGAGTTTTTCCCCCAAATTACACAAATAACTGCTGGGATTTTGATTTTTCCACTCCCATTTTTTTTTTTTTACTGTTTTTATTCTTTCCCTTTCTCGTCCCTTTTAAAACATTCCCTTCTCTCTCTCATACTCCATGCGATTTCGCCTCCCACAGTTCCTTCTTCTTCCTCTCCATCCCACCTCCGTCAATCCCGAGGCCTCCCCGTTTCCTTCCCTTGTCAAACCCCGTCGTCCTGAATTCTCCGCGCATTGCCCTTTCCATTTGTTCCCTGGGGGAGAAAAAGCAGAACGGGAAACGGAGGGGCTTTCCGATTTCGGCGGCGACTCAGGGGAGAGCTGAAAAAGCTACTGCTTGTTGCAACTTCCGAATTCACCGGAAAAAGGTGCTTCTTCTTCGTCTCTCTCTCTCTCTCTCTCACTCTCTCTTCGTCTTCGTCTTCTATGCCGTTCTGCTGCCTAGGCGTTTCTCTGCTACTCTTTCCGTTTCGCATCTCCATGTGTTGAAATTGAGACGTGAATCATTCCCCCTTCCGGCGGCTGGATTTCCGATTTAGTTCCGTACTCTTTTTGCTACTGCTTTGCCGCCGGCGAGTGATGGATCTGCTTCATCTCAACTGGACAAAAATGCAATTTGATCTTTCGCGATCGATTCCCTGAGCTGCAGCTCGCGATTCCGATGGCAGATCCTTGCTCGATAAACCTTTCCTTTTCTTGTTCTAATTCCCCGCAGGATTGATTGAGGTTTCTATGCTTGATTTGCTTGCGTTTTTCCGCCCTCTCTTCCTAGTCTCTACTCCGTTTAAATTGTTCAGATGAGGTATTTCGGTTTCCACTTGCGTAAAATTTCTCTTTTTAGGGTTTTATTTAATAGCGCCGGAGTTCTCCGATGGCGATCCGGTTGAGGACTCTGTAGATTTGCGTGTTCGTTTAGACTTCTTTCTTTTCATGGTCCTGTTTCGTGATCAATCACTATTTACTTAAAACGAAGCCTTAGTTGAATCTCAGATTCAATTCCAAATTCGGATGGTGAATTTGTCAATTGTGAATGCAGATACTCTGCTGCTGTATCTTTCAAAGGCATTCGCACTCGTAGTCTCATGAAGAGCGATCTGTTGTGACTGAGGAATTTCGTCGAGCATCGATAAAGGATTTTAAGTGGACGAGGGAGAGGGAGAGGGAGGATGTCTTCGCCAAGCAAAGCTGATAAGAAGGCATCTCTCGATGCAGCTTCATGGATGTTCAATGTCGTCACTTCTGTTGGAATTATCCTCGTCAACAAAGCCCTCATGGCTACCTATGGCTTCAGCTTTGGTAAGTCTTCTGCTGCTAAAGTCTTTCAACCGATGGTAACTTTGCTTCTTATGAGATTGCTTAGGGAATTTGGTTTCTCTCAGTTGGTGAAAAAGAACTATGCTTTCTTTGCCGGGCTTTATTTTGCTTGAAATATGCAGCTGTCCCGTCCTGTGTTTCTAACATTATGATGGGGTTTTCGGATTCATACTTCATTGGTGGAACTTGTTAGTCTTTTTGGAATGTTTCTGATATTCTTTGTTCAATTTGGTATGGCTTGCAGCAACAACGCTAACCGGTCTCCATTTTGCCACAACGACCTTGTTAACGCTTGTCCTAAGATGGCTAGGATACATCCAGCCGTCTCATTTACCATTGGGAGACCTATTGAAGTTTGTTTTCTTTGCAAACTTCTCCATCGTTGGTATGAACGTGAGTCTAATGTGGAACTCAGTTGGATTTTATCAGGTGAGGCTTTGTTGAACTACTAAACTGTGTGCTCTCTATCCTTCTGCGGAATTTTAGAAGCTAATAAGTTCCTCTGTTTCTTTCGAAACTTATCAGATTGCAAAGCTAAGCATGATCCCTGTTTCATGTTTTCTGGAAGTCGTCTTGGATAAAGTACGATACTCAAGAGACACCAAACTAAGCATCTTAGTAGTCCTTCTCGGAGTTGCTGTCTGTACTGTTACAGATGTGAGCGTTAATGCCAAAGGATTCATAGCTGCCTTAATAGCAGTTTGGAGCACTTCGCTGCAGCAATATGTAAGTAGCTGCTCATACCTGGCATGGCTAGTCTCAACTTGGGCTGAGTTAAAGGTTGACTTTTGTTAATCTAGGAGTGTTTTTGCTTACATTCTAGAGTTGTGACACTCGTATTCTTGTTTTTGTTGTGCAGTATGTACACTATCTACAACGGAGGTACAATCTAGGTTCTTTCAACTTGTTGGGGCATACTGCTCCAGCACAAGCTTCATCTCTGCTGCTAGTGGGTCCCTTTGTGGACTACTTTTTGACGAGTAAAAGAGTGGACGCCTATCCCTTCAGTTTCACATCTGTGGTGAGTTCTTCAAGTTTCATCACTAAACTTGCTATGAATCTAGGAGTTGCCTGTAACCATTCTTCTATCTCCCTCTCCATTATCATTCAAATTAAAGTATGCATGTCAATTTAGTCAAACCTCCATCTAGATGGGCAAAAAAAAAAAAAAAAAAACAACAACAAATGCATGAACAAAAACTTCCAGAGAACCATCAGTGTCCATGATGTTTAGTCTAGGGGACAGGGCTTTAAGTGTCCAATTGGTGTTTTGTAAAACTATTGGTAGATTGTATGGCATGTACACCAGAGTTAATTTTCCAAGTCATAGGGAGTTGCTTGATTGATTTAACCGAAATCTATCTTTTTATGTATATCTTGTCAGTAGAACCTTGAACGCTAGTGGAGAGACATCATCGTAGTGGTGGGTTTCTTAATCTTAGTAGCATTTATAGGAATGCCAATGCTAGTAAGTGTTTGTTTTTCTCGTAATCATATTGAGTGCCTGTCCATGGCTCTAGGCCTCTCAGGTGAACGAACCTCTAAACTACACAGGAAAAAGTGCATATCTTCTAGTTCTGGTTCAAACAAAGCTAGAAATAGACTATGTGTAGAGATTTGTCAACAGTTTGCTTGCACGAAATGATGATTTCTGGGGTTTTCTTTCCTGACGGAACGATGCAAGAGATGGTCATTGCGCATGCATACAGCTTCAGGGCATAGTTTAGTATACAGGGAGTGTTTCCTGTAGTTCTAAGTATACATCGTTTCTGACAATTCATCATTTTTCTCGGCCCAATCTGATACAAAACTAAACCACGTATTTCAGCTTGCTCCCCGTGTCTTTCCAGAACACATTGTTGCATATTCGTATGTATGATCTCATCCTAACGGCACTTCAAGATTCTCATGGTTCAGGGGGAATCTAATTTGCCATCCGCTTTTTTATGTTAATATCTGGTACAGGCGTTCATAGTTCTGTCGTGCACCATCGCCGTGGGTACGAACCTGAGCCAGTTCATCTGCATCGGTAGGTTCACCGCCGTGTCGTTCCAAGTGCTGGGACACATGAAGACCATCCTCGTCCTGATTCTGGGATTCATCTTCTTCGGCAAGGACGGTCTGAACCTGCACGTCGTCTTCGGGATGATCATCGCCGTGGCTGGGATGGTCTGGTACGGCAACGCCTCAGCTAGGCCCGGAGGGAAAGAGCGCCGCAGCGTTTCCATGAACGGCGGCAGCAAAGCCCAGAAGCAGGAAGACTCGGCGGATGCCACCGAGGAAGCTGAAGAAAAGGTATGAGCAGAAACAAAGTAGTTCTCCAAATCTGTTCTCTTTGTTCAAAATGAAGGTATTTTGGAGGAATCAACCACTACTTGGTTGTCGTGGAGGTTTAGAAGAGGGACACGGATATTTTTACTACCACAGGTCACTTTGAGTGATCGATTCTTTTTGTTGCTATAGTAATTTATTTCTCTACTGAGGAGGAGGGGAGAAAGGCTGTAATTTGTTCCTCTACCAGGAAATTACACACTATTTTATGATTGGGGCATGTAATCTTTTTGTCTCTCGGTCCTTACTTTTTATACACAAGCTAATCAAATTCTTCAGTAGCATTCTTTTCTTCTCTGTTTTCAGCTTATTATTGTTTGACTCGGATCTCTATTGCATGCTGTGTTCTCTTCTTGATTATGGTACTCAGATTCAACCAGTATAGCATTGGTATTGAGTTGGTGGTAGTGGACTAGTGGTGTGTGCAATGGTTTGGTTTGTACGGGATTGTAACTGAGCAAATCGATGTTTGGATCATAGGGACCGAATAAAATGTGGTCCAGTCACTAGTCCTATGAATTTTGTAAGAAAAATAGATGGAGTTGATATTTGGACTTGATCATATCACTCCGAATATAATAATGGTCTGGTCCTTAGACGCAAGATGTTTTTGCACTATTAGGCGACGGTTCTCATGAGTTTGGTTAGATTCTGTTCGGATTGTTTCACACCCCTTTGTGAGATACCTATGGTGAAATTGAAATAAGAATGTCCCCGATTTCAACATCGAAGCATGATTTTAATAGATGGTATAACTTGCTTGTAAGGTCTGAAATTACGAATACCTTCTATTAATATTGAAATACCAACAATTTAACTGTTTATGCGCGGATCGGATCTGGTGTTGGTAGACTTTTTTTTATGGAAGCAAAATCGAATACGATGCGACAAAAGAAATCGCAAATTAAATGATTTCGATCAAGAAACAAAACTTAAATAAATGAACGAGAGAACATTTCTCGTTATTATTTGCTGATGATAACAACACTAACAACATGCCAAATGAATCTCTCTCGTACGAAAAGAAAAGAAAGAGTAGGCTTGATTCGCTTCTCGATTTAAATTCATCTTCCACAACCCGAATCAATCTCCTCCGGTACCCTCCCGGATTGCTGTAGAAGAAAAAAATAAAAAAAAATAAAGAAATCACCGTAATTTACCGTAAGAACAACGAGAAACGTCGATGAATATCATCTCATGAACCAATTCAACCAATACATAATTTGGTAATCAAGAAGGAAGAAAGCAAGAGAAGGAAGGAGAAGAGAGAGAGAGAGTAAATAAATTAGCTTACAAGGTTTTTCTGGCTTTCCGTCGACCCATTTGGAGATGGAGAAATGAACCTTCTCCCGCTCCAGGGCTTCGGTCCTGTGAGGCTCCTTGAGGCAGTTCCTCATCATGCTCGCGCACTTGTTCGAGTAGCTCACGTACGTCATCCCCGCCGCTCTCCAGAACGGCCCCGCTGCTCCGCTCGACGCCATCTTTTCTCACTGTTTTTTTTTTTTTAACCTTTCCTCTGGTTTCTGTGTGGAGATGAGAACTCTCTAAATTTTAACAGCTTGTTTTTTTAGGTTTTCATCTACCTGATTAGTTAGATTCCAGTAACAAACTTGCTACTTTTCTGTTTTTACATTTTTCCCTCCGCTAAAGCGGGCATGGGCCTTCTCTAACAAATGGGCTGATCGATCTCTCGGCCCAAGCCCATTTATGAATGTATCTAACCCGCGGATTAGTGATGGTGGGCGCGGGACAGGACGGGTCTGAAGTAGATACCCATGCCCCGCTCCACGCTAATGTGGGTTAGGTGATACCTGCCCCATCGCGGGTCAGGTCGGGCCACGGGGCGGGTTCAAATTGCCATCACTATCGTGGATTATGGTATAAAAAAAAAGACAAAATACATTTCGGTAGCCAAAATTTTCGCGTTTGTGACAATAATAACCGATTTTGGAGAAATACCACTTATAGCCAGTTTTTGTAACTGTTGTATGACAAATCTAGCCATTTCCGTTAAATACTTTAACGGTGTTAGTGACACCGTCAACTATTTTGACGGTTTGTTGATTAGGCTCCCACTCAACACACACATAAGCGCCAAATAAGCAAAAAGTGACACGTCATAATTTAAATTTATTTAATAATTAAACATCATAAATTAATAAAAATATTAATTTATTTCCCAACCCTCATATACCCCATATATGTATTTTTCATTAAAAATGTATTAAATTTGTACCCTTTCTGCACAGGCGATTTCTAACCATTTATAGAACCCAAATCCAGCTTGAAGTTTCAATCTTCCAAATCTTTTTCAAATCTCCAAAAAAATTTCATTCCGATGAAGATAAGCTCAGACATAAGAGAGTAATAGAGAAGAATCGGGACTGGAAGAGGGAGTAGATCGATGGTGGAGGAAGGAATATCAGGGGGGTTCGTCGATTGTGTCTTTCTCAGAAGGGGTGAGCGTACGAAGAAGAAGATAAGACAGAGGGAAAAGTGGGTGGGTCAAACGAGGGGTTCTTGTTTTTTGTTGCTTTAATTTTTTTTTTAATTAATTGTTATCTACATGGACAATTAGAGAGGAAAAGAGAAATAAGAGCTCGCCACGTAAGCGTCTCTGTTTGGCTCACACTTAACGCTAACAGCGTTAAAGAATTGTACGGAAGTGGCTACAAGTGGTATTTCGCCAAATTTGACTATTATTGGCACAAACACTAAAGTTTTGGCTATACAAGTGTATTTTGCCAAAAAAAAGGTAATATCTATTTTTTATCCAAATCTTTTTCATATTCTTTTATATTATCCAAACCTATTAAAATGATATTAATTAAGCAAATCTTTCGTAATTCAAATCTTTCGTAATCCATCAAAATATTAACCATTTTTACGTTATCATTAATAATTTTGTAACTTTTTCTTAATTCAAATACTAAAATTTTGTCATGTTGACCTTCATGTCTCTCTTCCAAATCAGTATCATGTTGTCAAATCAATATTACTAACAAAATTGCTTTCCTTCATGTCTCTCTTCCATATCAGTATCATGTTGTCAAATCAATATTACTAACAAAATTGCTAGCTGAAAGTTAACATTTGGTTAATTCTTAATATTTCGATAGGTTTGAATGATATAACAAAAAACTAAAAAAGATTTGAATAAAAAATAGAAATTACCCAAAACTTTAAAAAATCTCAGGTTTAAGTGCAATTGCTACTTTTTTTTTAGAAGGATCCATTAAGTAGACAAACGGGACAAAGCCCAACGGAAAGATACAAACTTACAACTGGGACAAGTGCAGTTGCAACTTGCAAGCAAGGAGTGAACGATATAATCTGCACAAATTCTCACCCTCAGAATATATTAACTGACTACAAGCCATGGCCATCAGAAGAAAGATCAAATGAAGCCAAATGATCAAATGGGAGACTGCAAAATGCAGAGTGACTTCAGGAAACTGGAAAAGCTGATATTCTCAGAACCCACTAACTCAATTGAATACCTTCAGTCATCTCAGCCATCTCACTGTTCTCAGCATTATCACAAAATAAGCACAGAATTAATGATGCTATTATCATCACATATATAACTTCAACTCAACCATGAATCAAGATCATCTATAGAAACTGCCTGTATGCAGAATGCAAACGTGAGCACTCTATTCGAGGTAAATCAGGAGCAGAGATTTTTCAACAAGCTTACAACACAATAGAGGAGAGCCCCTATATGTAGACCTTCCATAATCTACAACATCTTCTTCTTCTTCTTCTCGAAGTAAGCATAGCTCCGTTGGAACTTCAGTATTCCCCACACTACATGCAACAGACTGATCTCAGGCCATAACGCTGTGGGCGAATACAGCGTGCAATGAGTCGTCTGCCACAGCTGATAATTGCTCAACCTCTTCTCCCCTGATGTCCTCAACAAGACATCAGGATCGGGAGCTACTCCCATGTACATGTGCTTCTCAATGTCCACTAACTGTATAGCCGAATGCTCATTCACCACCACCCCACCACCATCGCCCTCTTTGTCTTCAATCTCCTCCAACTTATCCTTACAACACTCTCTAACCGAGTTCACAATCTCATCGCATGAAGTGTAAGCTATGCAGATCAAGAGCACACACCTGGAGTTATGTGCAGTAGCCTCCATGACTTTCTCCGCTGCAATCCTCACTCGCTCGTCCAACAGCTTCAAGTTTCCAACAAAGTAAACCCTAACGCCGTACTGATCTGCAATGCTGCCTTCCTCGAGAAGCCCCTCGATCTTCTCGAGGATCAAGTCCATTATGGTCTTGACTTCATCGGGGCGCCTCTTGAAGTTGTCGATGCTGAAGGCGTAGATGGAGATGTACTTCACCCCGACTTCGTAGCAGTACTTGAGCACCGAGACTAGGGCGAAGAACCCGGCCCTGTGACCAGCTCCTTCCCCCATGTTCACCTTCTTGGCGTAACGTCGATTGCCATCCATTATGAAGGAGTAATGGGTTGGGATTGGACCCATGCGTAGGACTCTGAAGAGGCAACTCCTCATGAAACCACTTAATCTGCCTAGTAACCCACTGGCTCTATCATTAGCTTTATCCATTTCCCCCCACACTTTTTGGATTAGAGGGCAGAATCAATCGTGAAAATACCTAACCTGTTCATCACAAGAATGCAAATCTGAGTTATTGACTTGCTAGAATGAACAGCATGATAAAAAAAATTACCTACAGCTTATTCATCACAAGAATACAAATCAAAGCTAGAAAACCAGAAAAAAGGCAGCAACTTTCTATCGGATCAAACAAACCCAACCCAATCGGAAAGTTAAACCACAAAGCTCAAGTCAAAACTGGTAAAGGGTACTCGGACAAAGAACCCAAATCACCAAAAAATGAAGCAGAGAAATTAGAACAGATTCTCCCATTGCAGTAGCAAAAGCAATAGGGAAATCGGAGAAAGAACCTGAAAGAGCCGACGAAAGGGGGAGCAGATTCCGGTAGAAGGCGCGAGAGAAGGGAGGAGTAAGGTTAGAGGCTGCAGCCTTCCCTTTGCATGCTCTGATTGTCTGTATAAAATGACGAGGCAGTTCAATTTATGAACTTGTTTGTGAGTACTGAATACTGTGGGAAAGAAGAAGAAGAAGAAGAAGAAGAAGAAGAAGAAGACGGTGCTGGCCCTCGTGTCTCTTTGGTTTGGTGGGGCGAATTTGTTACCTACAATAACCGAACAGAGGGCTCTGCGAATAACGTGACTCCCGCCAAAGTTTCGGCGTTACCCACCTCCTATTTGATTCCTCTCTCCCTCTTTATCTCCTCCAAAAAGTGCTGCTGAAACTGGAAACAGAGAAGCCCGAGTATAAAACTAAGAAACCGATACCCATATGACCAAACCGGCCAGAACAGGGTAGTTAGGTAAACCAGGTGGACCCAGGTCAAAGCTGGACGAGACTGGCAATGAGGATGACGCCGCTGTGTGAAGAATGATTTCAATCAAAGGATTAGGGATTGGTAGAAAAAGCTGTGATATGCGAAGGGAAAGGGGTGATGAGAAGAGAGAGGGAAGGGGGACGACTGCAGATTTTAGAATGAAGGGATTCCGTCGTCTTTCTTCCCTTACCAGTTACTTGGGCTGGGCTAAATCTTCTTCTGTTTATTTTATGGCTATTCAGAGTTTAACTAAGAATGAGCCCGCTAACTCTATGTAATTAACAACCAAATGGATCCCCAAATATATAATACACCCGGCCAACAAGATAGGTTTTGCTTTCCTCTGTTTTCCGAACTCAGAAACTGACTTGTTTCTAACATGGTAGATAAAATCTTATTGTGCTGAAGGTTCAACCACGAAATACTAGTATTGAAGAATAAATTGGTGGTAGTATATAATACACCTTCTATCGTTGACTTTTTCGGTTTGGTCTCTGGTACGGTTTTATAGACCATGGTTTCTAAACTTCATTTTTTCTGGATGTTTCTAAGCTTTTTTTTCCACAATTAAAACATTCGGTAGAAGCATTCTATTTTCACCAATTAGCACAGGTAGGGATGGCAATGGCTAAGATTGACTCGGGTTATTCCGAACTCAAATCCAACCTAACGAGAGCATTCGTTAAAAGGCTCGGTAAAATACACGGGGTCATTTGAATGGATCAAAGGGATGAGTCAATGTGCCCCAATTGACTCAAAATGAGACAATTGGACCAAATTATCCCATTTGACTGCAAAAAGTAAGAATGAGGCAATTGGACACGAGGCAATTGAAATTGCTTCATTCTCGGTCAATGTCAATTACTTGGGTGGGAGGGAGGTAATCTACATTACTCCATTTTGTGGGTCACTTTTCCCAATATGACCCCTTTTAATTAATTTCTTTTTTCTTTCTTTCTTTCCCAAGATGGAGAAGGGTAAAAGAATGAGGGCAAATATGTATTTTAATAAAATGCCTCATCACAATTGTCTCATGCCAAATCACAAGCCAAACAAGATAATTATATAAATATTTCCTCATACAATTAGCTCATTTTCTAAAATGAGACTTTTATCTAAAATTACCTCATTTTGAGAATGTTCCATCCAAACGACTTCTAAAGTGAAAAAAACTCAATCCAGTTGGGGTGTCCATTCTTTGGTGTCCATTCTTTCATGAACATAACCCACATTTTTATATTATCAAAATGTTTTTTACAATTATGTTATTATAAAGACTAATACAACAATAATTATTCTTATTATTAGGATTATGTTGCTATACACAGAGGCGGAGGCAGGGGGTCCGAGCAAGATGGCAATGACTAAGATTGACTAGGGTTATTCCGAAATCAAATCCAACTTAACGAGAGCATTCGTTAAAAGGCTCAGTAAAATACACCTGATTTTTCTAAGTGAAAAAACTCAATCCAGTTGGGGTGTCCATTCTTTCATGAACATAACCCACATTTTTATATTATCAAAATGTTTTTTTACAATTATGTTATTATAAAGACTAATACAACAATAATTATTCTTATTATTAGGATTATATTGCTATACACAGAGGCGGAGGCAGGGGGTCCGGGCAGTGTCCTGTGACACTGGTACTTTTGGGGGTAAAAAATAGGACACAACTGTTTTTAAATAAATTGTTTAGATATTATTTTTAATTATATTAATTATTTATTTATATTCTGAAAAGAGAACACGGGTATTTTCGAATCCTGACTCCGCCACTGGCTATACAGACTATTAACATCCACAGTCTAATCATCTATTAGAACTAGATGCTTGATCTCGTTTTTTCTTTCTGAATATGAGTTGACTGAAAAACACGTCAAATTTTTAATTGATTCAATACGTTAATTCCACAAATCGGTTTTACCTGTAACCAATTACAAAATCCATCAATATTAAAATTTATCTGCTTTGACCTGATTGGATTGGATTTAGTACTGCAGGGGGGGCATGCTCATTGAGGTTAGGGGTGTTCAAACGGTTTGGTTGCCATGGTAACCGTTTTAACCGGTACTATTTGGATAATTTGGTTTGGTTAATTTGTATAATTGGTTTGGTTTGGTTAAAGTTTTTAGCTTGTTTGGTTTATGTGGTTTGGTTTGGTTTCAGACACTCCTAACCAGTCAAACCAAATTAACCAGTTAAGTAATTAGTCATATTTCTAACATATATTATATACACATAATACCTTGCATAACCACTCAAGAGTTAACGTTCATCCTTTTAGACTCATAAAATATAAAGCTCAATATTGCTCATATAGTGTATATTTGTATATGTAAAGTCTAGACCACAACATATGGGCGCCTAATTTAGATAAATTTCATACATTATGATGAATGAAAACTTGAAAGGAAGGTCATTTCTAGCCTATGATAATTGCTAAGAGACTAAGTCAATTTACACAAACACAACAATTCATTAACCCATACCATTGTCATAATTTTTTGTTAGGTGAATACTTCTATATTAATCGTAAGATAATTGTCTTAGTTGCATGTATTTTTGTTAAGGGGTCAACTATAACTACGTGTTTATTGTTATGTTTTATTCATTATATAAATTGCGAATTGTTGCATTAACCGGAAAATTTTCATCGTCAATGATAATGTAGTTTTATATTGGTTAATCTGGTTAACCAATTAACCAAACCGATTAAACTTTAGTTTGGTTAATTTGGTTGTTGTATTAGTTTGGACGGTTTGGTTATAATATTGTATTTCATGATTAAAAAAATTTAGCTTTATTTAGTTTGGTTATAACCATGATAACCATTTGAAACCCCTAATTGAGATCCCTAAGGACAAGCGAAGACCCATGGATGGTTATATAAATAAGAGAGCACACGCGCAGAGTTTTCGTTTAATTAGCATTGCATATCGCCCCCACCACAGAACAAATATGTCTAAAGACTAAAACGGCCACTTCAACATCGAACTCCAAACTCAATGCTCTAGAACATATTTTTTTTGTTTTTTTGTTTTTTGTTTTTTGCGTTACAACGAAAAAAAATAATGATGTCCTCTTTGGTCCCCTTCCACCTTACAACGTGAACAACAACGCCAACAACACCAGGACGCCCGCCATGAACCCACCACGGCTCCCGCCGATCCTCCCCCCGCCGCTCACAATCTGAATCGGGAACAGACAGTTCCCCCGCGTCGCATTGGTCTTGACCACCGTCGCGAGCCCGTTGAAGTCGCAGGCGCTCACGTCCTGGTCGTTGATCTGGTAGTAATTGTTGAACGCGTACGACGCCTGCCAGTTCTTGTCCAGGCTGGCGCACGGCGACCCGGGCTTCAGGCTCGTGCAGTCGCCGTACGCGCACGCGTACCCCAACGCGTCGTCCAGACCGACGGGGTTGGTCGCGTCGGGGTTCAGCACGCACCACTGCGCGGGCAGGTACTGAACCCCTTTGGCGGCAACCAGCATCTTGTTCTGGTTGCCGCCTCCGGACAGGTCGAGTGGGTACTTGGGCTTCCCGTCGTAGGTGAAGATCCCCCAGTGCCTCTCGAACGGACCGGGGGCGATGCTCTTCTGGTCCTCGTCCATGAGGGCGAAGAGGTAGACGTCGAGCTTCCCCGGTCGGAGCGGGGTGCCCTTGTTGGCCGCCAGACGCTTCATCAGCCCGGCGTAGAACTTCTGCGCGTAGTCCGGGGTGGCGTACTTGTGGCCCGCGGTGGGCCACCCGACTTCCCCGACCATGATCTTCAGGTCGGGGACGCCGACTTTTTTTAGTGCCGTGACCAACGTGTCGTAGTTGGCGTCGAACACGTTCGAGTAGGCGATGTTGCCGTCGTACACCTTCCTCCCGTCGTTCGAGAAGAAGGCGAACGACGTGGGGAAGTTGGAGCTCTGGTACAGGCTGAGGAACGGGTAGATGTTGACGAGGATGGGGGCCTTGTTCTGGCGGAGGAACTTGGCGATGGACGTCATCTGGCCCTTCAGGCTGGATCGGAACTGGCCGTCGGACGGCTTGTCGGAGTGGGACTCGTACACGTCGGCGTTGAACGGCACCGTGACCTTGATGACGTTGCCGAACCCGGCTGCGTTTAGGGCCTTTTGCACGTTCTGCATGGCGGGGAACAGGTCGTTCACGTACCTGTCGTAGTAGCTCGCCAGGAACGGCTCGTTCCCTACGGCGACGTATCTGCCAAATGCATGCAAACGTAAATGTTAATGACGAAAGGCGTGGTCAAAATGAACCAAAAGAAATACGGTGGAAATGTAACATTATGTATCGAAGAAAACGTTACATCTGATGTGTTTTTTCCTCTATCGTAATGGAACAATGATCTTCGATAAGAAAAGGAACAATTGTGACATAAATTTATGACGATTAAACCGAATATTAATGAGCAATCAAATGCATAATTGTTGATAAGAAAAGGAAGGAAGCTAGGGTGGCAAAATTTACTTGATATTGACGTGCTTGTCTTGCTCGCTAGACATATGATCAGAAACATTTTCCTTCACCCAATCCTTGGCATTGTCGTAATCCTTGGCCAGATCATGGAGTTGGTCATTAGGGATTCCAAGCATGACCTCGATGTCGGTGCCGGCGAACTTGCTGACGGTGTAAGAGTCGGATTCGAACAATTTTATCCGTTTGAATCCATTGTCTTTCAACATTTGTACCACGATGTTGGGGTCCATGGGATGCGAGGCAATGCTGCCCCAATTCACCCCAAGTCCAGGCAAAACAGAATTGGATGACGAAGACGATGAATTGGCCGCGAGGGCGACGTTTATCGTCGAAATTAGTAAGAATGTCACCGTGAAATACTCGGTGGCACGACGATAGCCCCCTCCTGCCATGAGCAGGAGAGGTGGTCTAGCTCGAACCATCGTCGAAGCTTTTCTCCGACTAAGGGTATGAGGAAAGTTTTTAGTATATAATGAGAAGGGAAGAAGGGGAAGAAGAGGAGAAATGAATGAGAGGTTGGATGGGAAGAGCTAACCAATGGTGGAGCTTTTTGGTTCCTATGGTGCCATTAATAGAGAATGAGCTCTAACGTAATTTCTTGGCTTGAAAATTTGGAGAAGTGGGAATAATATAAACTTGTGAGTAAAGAGTACTAGCAATGAATCAATCAAGCACATCAACTGAAACTATGATCTTTTTATTGTAGGATTGTCAATGGTTTGGTTTTGGTTTTCATTTCTCTTTCAATATTGGATTGGAATTTTAATTTGTAATGTTTACCCCCTTGTTTGCTAAATTTGGATGGAGGAAAGTGGTCTCGTTGAATTCTTAATTAGTACAGTTGAAACAGTATTAGCTGAAGAATCGTTTTTGAATTTTTTTTACTGTATTTTATTCTCTATTTTTGACAATGATGAACACAAACACCGGCATGAAAAGTTTATCGTAAAAAAGGGATGATTTATCTAAATAATTGATGAATATTTTCTCTTCCAAAAAATGAAATTTAGTCTTTTTTATTAAATTGTGTATTTTGATTTGTTATGGTTAACAAACTACTAGTATGAATATCATACTCGCTTTAATGGAATGAGTCTAATAGTCTATTGCTTAGGAACATACAAAATGCGGTTCTTATTTATATGATAACTAGGTGGCGATGCCGCGACTTGTCGCGGGCGGAAATGGCCTATGTGCATGTATTATATTGCCCGTTATGCTGTTTTGTTACTATTATTAGTCTAAAATTAATTTTTTGTTAGCAGTTTTGTTAGTAATATTGAGTTGACAATATGATATTGACCGAGAATATATAAATGGAGGTCAACATCCAATTTAAAAATTTTGAAAATTTTGGCTAATAAATAATATTTACCTAAACCCAAGTAGACTCATTGATTATGAGTAGGGTCTGAGTGACGTATTTATGGGTTTGGAAGTTTATTTGTAGATGGGTTTGGTAAGGTATGAATATTTACTTTCATAATCTAAATGTGTATGAGTTGGGTATAAATACCCATTTATTCGAGGGTGTTTTCATTACACATACAAAAGACCTGTTTGTACAACATCAAAAGTTCAGGTACTAAGATGTAATACAAAAAATAGGTACTAAAATGTAATGTTCCATAAATATTTGGAGGACTTATATGCCAAAAAAATAATTTACGTTATAAATCTAAAGATCTATTAAGTTTAGGTACCCAACCATAATTTGCATGGTTGAGGCTTAATTCCTTTTATGGTAATGTATTTAATATGATAATTATTTACTTTTTTATAGAAAATAGAAAACTATTTATTTGATATGTATGATTGTTGAAAATTCTAGTCCGGGTCAAAAAGAAAAACTCTAGAGAGAAGTAAAAGGAATACAAACTGGAACTCGCTTAAAATTTCATGCCTTCAAATCCCATAGTGGAAAAAGGCGATTTTCTAATAAGTAATAATCATATATATTAGTTTTTAATTGGACTCGACATTGAGCTTAAAAAATTAGTGGTTCATGGTTCAATTATTAATTCTCTAGACTGTGGGTCAGTCGTGTATGGACCCGTTCATCCTTGTGATTAGAATACATAAAAATAGTTTACTAATTAGGGTTAGACGAAGAAGGCAAAGAAAGAAATAAATAAAGGGTTATGCAAAGGCGAGTGTAAAATGAAACGAAGAGGAAGTAGACGATGGAAATTATTAGAGTTGCGTTTGGGTTTAGTGGTACCCGACCCATGGATACCCGCTCACACTTATTTCGTCGCCCTACTCTCCCCAAAACCTACCCTAATTCTAATTTCCCCTAATTTAACTCTCACTACACTTATTTCGTGTGCTTTTATTTAGTGTAATTTTGATTTGTTTGAATTTTCTAGAGTGGTGTTTTATGTATGGATAATTTGTATGGGAAAATTGATGTTTGAATTTTATTTTGATAGGAGCTTGTTATTGTATATTTTTTACCACAAAAATCCATGGGTACCCATGAACCCGCGGATACCGAGCGGGTTGGGTTGGGTTTGATTTTCCAAACCGAATGAGTTTTACCCGGGGTTTTTTTTACGGATAAACCCATGTGTTTGGGTTTGGGTTTGGAAAAACCCGATCCAACCCGACCCATTGCCATCCCTATGTAAAAGTAAAATATTGTAGGCACGACAATCTCATAAAATTTAGATACCAAAACATAATTGTTCAATGATTTTATATCAAAATTAAATTTGAGATATCAAAATGTATATTACATGTAACACCCTACCCTATACGTTTTGCCTAATCATATTGTTCATACAATTGCAGCGGAATTAATCTCGGGTGTTACATTAATTATCAAAATTTACCCAAATAAAATTTCGACATGAATTACTCGCGTAATGGGCTAACAGTTCTTGCAACTTATCCTGCAAAATAATTCATCTGAATCCATGCATTCATAGACAAACACATATACTCACAACCATATGCATTGGCTTTTCATAGCCATAGTCACAGTTTCATACTACACAACTGCATACCATACTTATACATACCATAATCGTCACAACTTACACAGTTACACAAATATACACATATCCTCAACTTTCCACACCTGTGGATATCTCACACTACATCAGAAGCTAGTATGCACATGAAAAACGTTCTGAAAACATTTTTTTACAAAACGTTGTGGATCACTGGCCAAAATCCCGAGTAGTAGTCCAAGCACAGAATGGTTGAAGACCATACCTCATCTTGCCTTCAACTCTTGCTCAGCTCCCACCTATACACCTATCTACTGTTGCTGCTGATGATCTGCTTACAAATAGCATAAGCAGAGAAGAAGAATAAAAGAGGGTCAGCTCATAGCTGAGTGAGATAATCATAGCATCGTGAGTTCATAACAGAGCATACCCCTACCATACATCTAACAATCAAGCCAAAACACTAGGATCGGACCTCAGCCATCCTCATATCCCAATAGGCAAAAGACTCAACCACCTTGACTTATGCATATGCATCTTATCATGTTTTACTCATAGGCGCCTGGCTACTCCCATGCTAATAACTCTCCCGGGAAACATACCCCACATCCCGTCGGATGTAATCATACATACCCCAACATCCCGTCGGATGTGGTCATACATACCCCACACCACTATGGGTGTAGTCATACCCCGACACCGCTCTGGGTGTGGTCATATCTCATAAGAATTCTTCAGTCACCACCACATGAGAGGTGTGACTATCATACATATCATAATAGAGTAATAGCATAGGGAGCCCTAATTACTACGTAATTGACCGTGAGACCACAACACTCATATTTGGTATCCTTATACATGATTCATATATCATCTTGCTTAATCATAATTCATTACTTGCACATGTACTTGACCAGGCCACAATTGGCTCAACATAGGTAAATCAGGAGTCGTATAATTGCACTTCCTCGGGATAAACCCTCGTGCAAGTCATCCTCCTTAAAACATCATAATATCACCCTAGGAAGTTTATTTCCCCCACTTGTGAATCCAAATACAACCACAATATCACATCATATCAAAACACCTGATCGAACAACCATGAATTCATATCAACGGTTAAGCCACAAATGGCAAGATGTATGCAATCATCAACATAAACAAGGTCCATATCGGCTAGGGCAAATCAATAATATCATACAACAGTCCAGGGTTCATCATATAACACAAAAGTCCATAGACCCCTAATCATGCCATTCTAGTTCACCTAGGTCAATTCTAAGCATCAATATAATTATCGTGATACGACAAACCCGGTATGCCGTGCTAATCCCTCACCAGTTCTGGTCGTTCAAACACCGGTTTAACCTTCCCGTACTAAAACGTCAATTTCACGAACGAACCCCGAATTAAAATCCGAGACCGTCCTAATATCCCCTGCAGTATCCCCGTCAATATTAGTTCTAGGCTCCGGGTCAAATTCTCGATAAAAACACATCAAACCCTGGCCGGAGCTAAATTCAGCGGTTTGGACCCTGGCCTAAATAATAGCCGAAATTCAGGGATTAGAACTAGAGGATTGATTACCTCGCTGCAGGAAGCTCGTATATGAAATTTGGGCTCAATCCGGCTTCCGGATACTCCGAAACCCTAATTTGGCTTATCGGGAATTCAAGAAATTCCTGAACCAAAAACTCGTTTTAAAGCTCTAAATCGATAAATCACGATGTATGGATGAATTAGGCATTACTTACGGGATTTTTGGATCACTAGGGCTCAAGATTGGAGCTTTGGAATTTTTTTCCCAGGAGCTCTGTGCGTGCTCTGCTCTCGGCTTTCTCTCCACCGAGATGAAAGAAGAAGAAGAAATGGCTCTGCTTCTCCGACCATTTACTAGTATATATATATATATATTATATAATTAATACGTATACTTATCCGATCGATCGATAATCCGATTTTCGCAGAAATACTGTCGAAATGCTCGATTTTAAATCGCAAACTTTCTAGCGATGGAAATATGGGTTTTGCCGAAACGGGGTGTTACATTACAGTGACTAAGTTGTAATTTAATTAAATTTAAGATATCAAACTATAATAGTTTAAGCAACGGTAACCTCACTTCAACTTTATATATATTAATTAATTAAATTCAGACAACGTTACTATTAGGTTTGGTTACAACCATAACATTTCATCTTCTTAATATCTATGTTCCCTTAACGTGTAGAACATCAATAATTCGAGACATTTCATTCGAAAAGGAACAATTGTGGTCCTCTATTGTCTACAGAACGCCCATATCATCCTAATATCCTGGTTTGGCCCGAAGTTTGGTATAAGTAAGAGTTTTGGTCTCCATTTTTCAAATAAGATATTTATGGCCTACTTTTGAAATTATTGGACAAATTTGGTCCAAAATTTTCTTTGACCGTTAATATTGACGGTCAAACACTATTCCATTAATGACTCAAAATCCCGCTAATGTGGAACGCCACGTCATTAAATATTATTTTAATTTTGTAATTCAATTAAATAAAATAAACAAATTAAAAAAACCCCACTTATTATCCCAAACCCGTCCTCTTGCTTCACGTAGTTTTAAATAAATTTTATTATTAGAAAGATAATAACATTAAAAAACCTACAATCTTATCCCTTCCCCTCCCTCTTCTCCGTCTAATCAATTTAAGATCTGCTAGCCTCTCGAGAGAAAGCTCAGCCCGATGTAGTGATGCAATGGGTCGGGGCGGGTATCTCAATACCCATGTCCCGCCCCACGCTACTATGGGACGGGGCGGGTCGACCCACTCTTACTTGCTATTTGAAAAAATATACGAAATATTTTACCTTTTAGGATAAAACGAAAGGGAAAATGCTTCATGAATGAATAATAGTGATAATATAATTGGCAATTGAGTCTACTTAGTTGAAAAATCAAGTCTAACTAGTTGAAGAAAAGCCAAAATAGGAGATATATGAATGACATAAAAATAGAAATAGAATGGGTTAAGAACGGGGCGGGGCGGGACAGGGCGGGTCGGAAGTTGATACCCATGCCCCGCCCCACGCTACTGCGGGTCGGGTAATACCCGCCCCATCACAGGTCAGGTCGGGTAATACCCGGCGGGGCAGGTTCAAATTGCCATCCCTAGCCCGATGAACTCTGACATCCTCGCGAGCACCCAGCTTCATCGTCAATCTTTGGAGCCCTCGCAAAGCACTTCTCCGGCTAGGGTTTAAGTCGTGAAGCTCTTCTGCAGTTCCGGCGTCCTCCGACGTTCTCGATGTTGTCAACTTCAATTGATACCAGCTAGAAACGATGCTAACTCTGTGGTTGGTGGTTGAGTCGAGTCTGCTCTGCCTCAACTCGGAAGGAGGGTTGCCCCAGAGCCCGATCTGTTATCTGGGCAGGATGGGCGATGAGACTGACACGATCGGGGAGACGAGGCGGCGGCCGCAGCCAAGGCTTTATTGCACGAAACTGAGATGGCCGAATTCGGAGGGAAATCTGGTCATACTGCTCCCGTCAAGTCCTATGAGAAAAGGACCACCACGGCAGTGCCTCCGCCGCGGCCTTGGCAAGGGTACTGCAGGGACCTCGCGATGGTTTCTCTTCCGCCTCCGTGATGCCCAGACGGAATGTGGTCACGGAGGACTACGACGCTGACAAAGACGAGTGCTACCGTGAGGGTTTGGATTTGAATTTGATTTAGGGTTGGGATTTGGGGCTTTGGGGATTTTGGGATAATAAGAGGGGGTTTTTTTAATTTGTTAATTTTTATTTAATTGAATTATTAAATTAAAATAATATTTAATGACGTGGCGTTCCACATCAGCGGATTTTTGCTGAGTCACTAATGGAATAGTGTTTGACCGTCAATATTAACGGTCAAAGAAAATTTTGGGCCAAATTTGTCCAATAGTTTCAAAAGTAGGCCATAAATGTCTTATTTGAAAAAATGGGACGAGAACTGTCACTTACGCTAAACTTCGGACCAAATTAGGGTATTAACCCTAGTCCAAACAAGATATGGAAAACTACTTTGGACACGTGGTACCTCTAATGATTGTGGTAGGCTCAAAAGTTTCTACGACAAGGCAAAAACTTTTGGCTTGTTGCCTAAACATATAGGTTCACTTAACCTTGGATAGGTTGTAAATGAGTTGAGCTACTTGTGAGCGGTACAACGCTTGACGAGAAAACAAGTTTGAAATTCATATCCATTTACTAGCTAATGAATCGTGTTAGAGCTGAGTTTTGTTCAATTTGCGGCACTCACGAGCCAGATTGACTCAATAGATGAGTTCAACTCGTGGCTCGTGAGCTGGCTCGATAGTGTGTCTAGCAAGCCAACTCGACTAACGACTTATTAACGAATTTTTCTATGGCTTCTGATGAGTTGACTTGTTGATAGTTCATAGAGTTGTTAGATTGTACATTTCACAAAAGATAATCTAAGAGTTTGAACATGTAATCATATATGTCTCATTTATAATTTAAAAGAGAAATGATTGATTATAGATTGCTCATATACTAATTACTATTAAATAACATGACATGAACTAGTTAGAATTTATAAAATAAATATGATATCAACAAAGTATACACGCATGTAATCAATTTGTCATGAAAAATTTACTATCGTTCTTTTTTTTTCTCATCAAGACATTAAGTACATGTATCATATATAATATATAAATATTAGGGTATCTAATTTATAAACGATTTTAGATTTTATGTTAAGGGTTCAATTACTGAGAATCATAAATTAGGTGAGCTCGAGCTGAACTCGAGCCAAACTTGAGCCAATGTTTATTAAATTAGTCAACCTCGTTGATGAACTCAAGCTAAGTTAGGTCAAAACTCAACTAGACTCGACTAAATTACAATACTACCTTTGATGATCTTTGGACTCCCTTGACCTAACTCAGCTCCACCCATTTACAATATTTTTGGACTCTCTAGTGCTATGATGTTGACAATACATGGATGTGTAGACAGGCAACTAGCACAAGTATTAAATATCCCATGGAGGGGTTTTAATATCCCTTCGAGGGATTTTAGGTGCAAAGACTTGTATATGCGGAAGAGGAAGGCTCACTTTTTCACAAAAAAAGTTTTTTTTTTAGCTCCTTAATATTTTGGAATCATAACCATAAAAAAATGGAATCATATGCCTCATTGTTTTAGATGCACACTCATGGAAGTTTAGGTGGATATTTAGTCTATTCGGTTATATCGACCATGTATTGTGTGCATTTTCGAATCTATTTGGATCAAAAAAATAAAGTTAGTTCAACTCAGTTTTAATCGAAATATTAAAACAAAAGCCACCACCAGTCATCACCATTATTCTCTCTCTTTCCCCTCTCTCTTATTAGTAATAATTATGAATATTTAATTTCATGTTTTGATAAAGAGGACTTTGATTATGATGCAATCGATGAAACTGATTTCGATATTTCTCATATAATGGAGATAGATGTCTTTCTCTTTGAAGACTAAGTATTTTATTTTTTTATTTGGAATTCTAAGTAGAACATTTAAATATTGATGTTATGTAGTATTAAAGTGTGTTTGAATTTTTACTATATATATTGGATTCAAGTAGTAACTATTATTTTAGCGCAATGTTATATATTATTATCTATATATTATATGGTATTTGATATAATTTATATGCATGTACAATATAATTACTTTTGCTATAGATCTAGGCTAAACCATGCTACATTGGTCTAAACTTAGCAGATCATTTACGCTTAACCCACTAGTTTGATCATGTCAACGGGCTAAACCAGTTTGACAACCTTGGTAGAAAGTTTTAGTAAGACTCACTAATAAAACGTAACAATGCATGAACCCATACCAAATTTTACATATAGTAATATATAGTACCCTAACTTCGTGGACTGAAATATTTTACTCTACTTATATGTTTACAGAAGATGAGACATGTGTCAAGCTTAGTCACTAGAGCTTAGAAGATCTGTGTGTTTGTCTATAGTCATCTTCTTCTCTTAGCCTTTTTTTTTTTAAAAAGTTAGAGGGTTGAAAGCACATTGTGCATTCATGAACTACTTGATTTGGTATAAGTTTCATATGCTTGAAAAGTGTTTATGATCATAGCTCGTTGTTCGAATAACTTGTCAAAAGTAGAATCTTTGCATCTCACAAGTTGGAAAAGTCTAAAGAGGGAAAACACATAAAGTCTATTGTGTTGGACAACAATTTTTTACAGGAGTTTTGAGTGATGGTGAAGTTGACATTGCCAATTGTGAAGTTGTTCAGTGTAGTTGATTTTGATGAGCAACCATCTTTGGGATATACGCACGATGGAATGATGAGGATAAAAAAGCCCATCAATAACACTTTTATTGGCAATGGAAGAGGGTATGATACTTAAGTGAAGTTATTTTATGGGAGATGAGATAAGCATCTTCAATATAACATCTATGGAGCTGCATATTTTCTTAACCTTGTTTTTCAATATATCGATGAAGGTCGAGCTGAGTGTAGTGTTAAAATTTGTCTTGTTGATCTCCTGGACAATGAAGGCCTATGTGATAATGTCTCATAAGCAATTCAGGAGATTAGACTTTATAGAGAGGCTTGGAAGCTTTGGAAAGAAAACAACTATATCGTGTGCTTCCACTTTACCTCTAGGTAACCAATTGTAATTACATTTACATATTATATTGTAGTGTTTTCAAATTCTATGTACTTATTTAAAATCATTTGCTTGAATGAATAGTTTAATGGCAGATACTATATAGAGAGGATGCTCCAAATTGGAGGAAGATTCTTGTGCGACTTTTGTCTCAAACTTGTTCTTCTTCATGTGAATGAAACTAGAGTTTGTTTGAGCAGATCCATAACAAGCGGAGGAATCGATTAGAGCATCAAAGATTGAATGATCTTGTTTATGTGACTTGCAATATGAGGTTGAAGAATGAGTGAGTGAAAAATTAACAAATTGTATTTACCCTATAATTTATATGCAACATTGTAAAGTTAATACTTCATATGCTTAATTGTTTTTATCTCTTTGATTTATAGGTGCTTGAAGAACGAGTGAGAGAAAGACCCAATTGATTATGAACAAATAGATAACCTCAATTTTTGGATCGTAGAAGAAGATCCACCTACAGATATACTATGAGGAGATTGAAAAAACTCTTAATTATGAGAAGGAGGACGAATCATCCTCATCATTTAGAAAGAGTCCTCGTGTTGAAGAATTTTTTATTATTATAGCATTTATGAAAAATTCTATACATTCTTATAATTATGATCTTGTTATTTGTAATAATTATGAATATTGGATTCATAGTTGATGCAGATGACTTTAACTATGATGTGATCGATAAAATTGATTTTGAGTTTTTGACATTTCTCATATCGATGGTGCAATGAATATGAATGTCTTTATCTTTGAAGATTGAATACTTCACCTTTTTATTTGAAATTTTAAGTTGAACATTTTTTTTTGTTGACTAAGTTGAATGTTTGAATATTGATGTTACGTGGTAGATTTAAGCGTGTTAGAATTTTAACTATATGTTCGATTTAAATATGAACTATTATTTTGGTGTAATTTTACATGTTACTATCTATATATTATATGAAATTAGATATAACTTATATATGTACAATATAATGATCTTTTTCATAGATCTAGACTAAATCGAGCTAAACAGGACTATACTAATTACCATGGTTCAAAAAGGCATGCTTAATTTTACGCTTAGGCACGCCTAGGCGCAAGGCAATGACAAAACACCTTGCCTAGAGGTTTCACGCCTAATTAGATAGTGGAACACGTCAATGGAGTAAGGCGACATATAAGTCTCTCCTAAACATTACTAGATGGATCTAGGAAGTCAATATTAAAGGAGAAAATTAACATCAACTACGAAATCAATTTTTCATATCAATATTTTCAATAGCTCAAGAATTTTGTGAGCTATTGAGCTATGATTCTACGAATTCGCGAGCTACATTCTTGCTATTAGGTGTTGAGTAAGTTATTAATCATTTTGACTAGAGTGAGGAGGTGTTGTAGATCATCATTTCATTCATCATGTCGTGTGAATAGCTATTTTTCTCCCAAAGCCTAGACACGCTTAGTCTACGCCTAAGCGATCTAGACGCTAGTCAAAGGCTCAACGCCTGTCTTACACCTAGCGCCTTTTTGAACCTTGCTTGTAATTACTAATCATAATCGATTAATCGAATCATTAACCCATAACTCACTGCCTCAATCGGGCCAACCTGCGAAACCGGCTTGACAACGATACTTTTCCGGTTTTCCCGTCAGTTTCCTCTCGCTAGAGACTAGAGAGAGATATCTGCCAGTCGGCCCCGAGCAGATTTGCCGGCGAAAGCACCGGTGAGTAAACACTCTCCAATCGAGCTTCGAAGCAGCTTTGTGACCATGGCTCCTCTCACGCTAGGCTTGGATACAACAACGACGACTGGTTCGGGTAAGCGAAAATTGAATTTCTTTCACCTTTGCAAATGGCGCTTCGAGAGCACGAATTTGTCGGTTTTCTGAACCTCTGGATTTCTCAGGCGGAAAAATGCACATCGCTCATCTCGAAAGCCGCAGCAAGCCTTTCGCCTCGCTCAGTGCTAAAGGAGAAGAGGAGAATCCATTCGATTTCTTGCGAACTGTATTTGGTAGCTTCAGTAACATTCTGTGGGTTCAAATTGTTGATGTAAAAGCTGAATCAATGGCGTGTTTTGTGATGGATATTGACTACTGCCCTGTTGAAAATATTGCAGAGGGAGTAATCGCTGGAGGTGCTGCTGGTGTTGTAGTTGAAACAGCATTGTATCCCATTGATACTATCAAGACAAGGTTGCAGGCAGGTTAAGTCGTCGCCATTCTAGTTGCCTCGTAGCGCTTCATTATTTGTTTCGAATTTAGCTTCATTTCGTAGAATATATTGCTTGATTCCTTCAATAACATTAACCTCCATAGCAACGTGTGGAGATTGATTAGTCGATTGTGAATGGCTGGTTCGATGATCGGAAATGATGGTTAAGTATAGGTATTTGCTGAGGTTTTTGTGCTTTTTGATATTGCAGGCAGTTCGTGGTGGAGGACAAATAGTCTGGAAGGGTCTTTACTCTGGCTTGGCTGGAAATATTGCTGGCGTCCTACCGTAAGTTTGAGTTGCAGTGTCAAAGCTCTATCTTGCTGCTATTTCGCAATTGATTGAACAATGTAGCTAGTGTAGGAAGTTAGATAAACTTTCATGTGTCGAATTGATAAATTCGCTTTATTTTTGCTTTCATTCTATCCCTGAACTCTTAGTGGTAAGAAAGTGAGCATTTTGTTCTGGGTATAATTGTCTGAAGAATTCCTTTCCAGTAGCCGTCTCATGCTTCATCGATTTTCTTGCTGACAGATTGGGATTGATATAGGCGTTCTTGTATTGTCTGCAGGGCTTCTGCTTTGTTTGTCGGAGTATATGAGCCAGCAAAACAGAAGTTATTGAAAGCTTTTCCTGAAAATCTTAGTGCTTTTGCTCATCTAGTAAGATCTGCTTTTTCAGCTCTTGCACAAGATATTTGATTCACCTTCTGCTTGGTAATCTATGTCACTTGCACTTTCAGTTGTGCAACTTGCTATATTAAGCAGATCAACAATCTGAAAACATTTCTCTCATTGAGTCTAATGTGGCTATGACAAACTATGCTTAATTGTGGTATGTAATGCACTTTACGCAGACTGCAGGTGTCATAGGAGGGCTTGCTGCTTCTTTTGTTCGTGTACCAACAGAGGTTCAGTTTTTTAGCATGATCTATCTTATATTTTTTACAGATTTGCCATCATCTACAAGATAATGATACGATTTTTTCAACCATCAGGTTGTTAAAACAAGGATGCAAATGGGGCAATTTTCATCTGCTCCCAATGCTGTACGCCTCATTGTCTCAAAGGAAGGATTTAAGGGTCTCTATGCGGTATGTAATCTGATATCTTGGTTATGTTTCTATCAAATGTAGAATGCCATTTTGTTAACCTTCACGAAATTTGAGTGTAATCGATCTTTAGCCTTAGGCGAGTTAAAAAAAAAATCTTCTTTATGGTACATTAGGATGTCCTTTTCTGTATTTTCATGCGTAATACTGCAATAAATGGATGAAACCTAAGATATTACTGATTCCACTTTAAAACTGCTCATAGTTATGTACATTTCGGGTTCATTTGTTGAATGCAGGGATATGGATCATTCTTATTGCGTGATCTGCCATTTGATGCTATTCAGTTTTGCATTTACGAGCAGCTTCGGATTGGTTATAAAATAGCAGTATGTTCCACGACCTGTCTTTTTTTAGAACTTTACCTGTCAAGTTTCCTCTTTGTCTTGTGACAAACATTATTAATACACCTGTGTCGTCTCACTCTCTTGCCAGGCACAAAGAGATCTCAACGATGCCGAGAATGCTGTGATTGGCGCTTTTGCTGGTAACTTTGAGTACTTTGATCCTTCAAACCCCCATTTTCTGTTACTCTTTTGTATGATAGACTGATTGTTGATTGCAATTTGCAACCTGATGTACCACCTTTCCACCTTAATTATGTGCATACTGAGCCTCTTCCTCACTTCTGTAGGTGCTGTAACTGGAGCAGTGACTACTCCACTTGATGTGATTAAGACAAGACTAATGATTCAGGTTATCTGCTCCCGCACTCTTAACTTTCCATTTCCTAGTTAAGCTTTCGAAAGAACAAGGGATTGTCAAATAAGACCATGAAGGATGCACATAACTAGGGTCGGTGTAGGACCAAATCAGAATGAAGGGAAAATGAGGACGAAAGTCAGATAAAAAATGCATTCTATGCAATGTTGTTCCACTTTTTTCCTTTGTTCTTAGGTTAATTTATGGAATCGAAACCAAAAGAAAGGTCTTCAATTTAAGAACCAAGTCAAATTATATTTTGGTCAAAACCGGAACAAATCTTTGCCCACCACAATGCACAATTGATCCATCATCTCTTTGAACTAAATGTTTTTTGATCCTTCTGTTTTGAATTTGACTGTAAACAAAACCACAGGGATCAGCCAACCAGTACAAAGGAGTGATGGATTGTGTTCAAACTGTCATTAGGGAGGAAGGACCTGCTGCTCTTCTAAAGGTTTCTCCACCCATCTATTTTTGTGTTTTGTTTTGGTGATAGTTAACCACAGGAATAAGGGCCAAAAGATAAGAAAGGAAGATCCTTTCTTCCCCTTTTCCTTCCAGCATTATCTAACATTTCACTCGTCTTCATTTCGCAGGGCATAGGGCCGAGGGTGCTGTGGATAGGAATTGGAGGTTCGATCTTTTTTGGTGTGTTGGAGAGCGCAAAGAGGAAGCTTGCAGAGAGGCGACCACCGTCTTCATCTCTTCCACATCTGAACTCGAAGCAGGATTAGGAGACTTCACTATATTTCAGATTAGGTGTTCTTGACACACACAGGCGCGCATCTTCAACTCTCGCTTGTGCTTTGCCGCGGTCTGATGCTTTAGTTAATGTAACGTGAATCGACATCTTGATAACTTTGTTTTAGAGCGCGGTTTTTGTATGATCGTAACATCATTTGTTGATTCCTGTTAATCAGGAAATAGATGAGGGCAGCAAAAAGTAAAGGCGATCGTCTCAAGTTCAGATGACTTCTTGATGCATATAATTAACATATATATCATATGAAAGTTAACATCGTCGTGAACATTTAACTCGTCTCACGCTTTAAAAGCAACAATTCACAGCTAGTCTATTTGGCTATCAGCAATACAGTTAAAATTGCGAATTAAAACTTAAACAGTTAAAATTGCGAATTAAAACTTAAAAAGTTGCGGTTTTATACTTCTATCTACGGAAAAAATCCCAAAGTACACACGTTCTTAAAAAAAATTCTCAAAATACATGAGTTATAAAAAAAATTCCCAAAGTACACATGTTTGAGCATCACCGCATTTGACAAACACGGTGAATACTTCATCGTTTTAAACAAAAACGGTGAAGTATTCACCGTTTCACACCAAAACGGTGAATCTTTCACCGCGTTAATCAACAACGGTGAAAGCTTCACCGTTTTTGACCAAAACGGTGAAGCCTTCACCGTTGTTAACTAACGCGGTGATCATTTCCCACGTTTCCCACCCCTGGTAGGTCAAAATTAGGTCGCAGCTACCACCTATTCACCGTTTGAGACAAACGCGGTGATATTGTTCACCGTTTTTGTCAAAAACGGTGAATAGTAGGCAGATTTTCCTATAAATACCACACCACCAGCAGTTGTAAAAACATAACCACTCCCCTTTCTTCAAATTTCAGCAGCCAAAATCGAGCATAATACACAGAACAGAAATTTTTCGGTATGTTGAGACTTTTCGTATTATGGTCTAATTATGTTTTTAGTAGTTATAGTATGATTTAATTTTCGTATTATGATTTAATTTTCGTATTATGTTGTTGTTAGTTAGTTGAACTTATATTCGTTAGTTATAGTATGATTTAATTTTCGTATTATGTTGTTGTTTGTTAGTTGAATTTATTTTCGTTAGTTATGGTATGATTTAATTTTCGTATTATGTTGTTGTTAGTTAGTTGAACTTATGTTCGTTAGTTATAGTATGATTTAATTTTCGTATTATGTTGTTGTTAGTTAGTTGAATTTATTTTTGTTACTTATGGTATGATTTAATATTAGTTGTACAATATGATTTTGGTTAATTTTACTGTCTTTAAGCTAATAGATACTTATTGTAAATTGTAGATATGGGTAAATTCAAGAAGTTTCATCTTACTATTCGGTGGAATGGAAGGGTGACAAACTCTGACATAGGCATTGATTATGAGGACGGCGAATCCATTATGCTGAAAATTGAATCCCGATTCAATTTTCAAGAACTCTATGATCTTTGTGCAGAAAGGGTTTGTACGAGCGGACAGACGAGACTTGGCAAAATTACTTACCGGTATCCAGACATGAGTGCTGGCGGGGTCGTGTTCCAAGAAGTTGTCATAAACGATGATGACGCGGTTATGATGATGTTACAGTTCCTAAGCGATAACCAAGTCCGGCTTGCAGAGGTGTATGTTGAGACCGAGGCGCTCGGTGAATCTCATTCTCACCAGTATTCTTATGATGATGGTTTTGCAGGAGGGTACGAATGGGGTGGTAGTTCGAGCAACTACCAAGGCGGTGGTTATACAGGAGGTTACGGGGAGGGTGGTGGTTCAATCAACTACGGTGGATCGAGTAGTGCAGGATGGGACCAATACTCGCAACCTCCTAAACCAGCCCCATTTGTTGAGGCCGATGGTGTTCAATGGCCTGCTTGGGGGCCAGAGTGGTATGGAATCGAGAATACCATTCGATCAGGGCGTACTTCACATGAGCGAGAGGACGATGTTGGTGGTCGTGGTCATGTTGATCCTTCTAGCTCGAGCTATCCATTCGAGTCAAGCGACGAGGATACTGAGGAAGATTTGATATCAGTGAGCGAGGAGGAGGAAGATACTGATGATAACGAGGATGAGGCGGCATTTCGTGAGGCACCCACGCCATATTACACACAGGTTCCAACTCAATTTTTACATAGTCAGAATGATCCCCCCGACTTTGTCCCTATGCCAGTGTACAATCCAACGGCCAATCTGGAGGTGGGTATGGCGTTCACATCGAAAGACGCTGTGCAGGATGCATTTACAGAAGAGGCGTTGAGGCGCAATTTCGAGTGGAAGGTAAAATATTCTGACAGTAAACAATTACATGTCATATGCAAGCATGATGCAGAGGGTTGTACGTGGCAACTGCGGGCTGCAAATATGAAGAGAAAGGGTGCTTGGGTGATTCGCAAAGCTGAGACGATCCACACATGCTCCTCTTCTATACTTTCCCAAGATCACAGGCAACTAAAAGCAAAGAAGGTTGGGAGAACTATTAAGCACCTTATAGAAGCACAACCAGATATCAAGGTGAAAGCTATCATGGCAGAGGTGAAGGATCGACATTCTTACACGATAAGGTACAAAAAAGCATGGCATGGTAAGCAGAAAGCCATGGCTGAGGTGTATGGTGATTGGGAGGATTCGTATGCTTTACTCCCTAGACTTATGGGAGCAATGGAGGAGTCCAATCCTGGGACTGTTTTCGTCCCAGTATACAACAATGTATACACTGAGGATCAAGTTCGAGTACAGGATAAGCTGATGTTCCATCGTCTTTTTTGGGCTTTTAAACCATGCATTGACGGTTTTGGGTTCTGCATACCGGTTATTCAGGTATTTTACCAACTAGTTCCGGTTTTAAATGTTGTATTATTTGCTGTTAAGTATATTTCATACTAATTATATCCTAAATTTTTATTCAGGTTGACGGAACTTTCCTTACTGGGAAGTACAGAGGATGTCTTCTAATTGCCACTGGCGTTGATGGAAACAGGCGAATTTTCCCGCTTGCATTTGCATTAGTGGAAGGGGAGAACAGTTTAAGTTGGGCTTGGTTCTTTGACCAACTGCACGAACACGTGACACAGCGGGAAGATATTACGATTATATCCGATCGACATGCGGGGATAAGGAATGCTGTTGGTGGTTTTCCCGACGAGTGGGGGTGGAGATGGAGATGGTGTATTCGGCACTGGCTCGCCAATTTCCAACACAAATTTGGGAAGAAGAAAGACATCAAAAATCTACTTTGGAATGCAGGTACTCATGTTTTTCTTATGCGATTTAAGTTTGTGTTTATTAAGCTGATAAGCTGATGTTATTCATCATGTATTGACCAGTTAGTCTTTTGTTCACATTTTAGCGGTTGCACATCAACCAAAAAAGTACGAGCAGATCATGAAAACGATCCGTCAGACCCACCGAGCTGGAGCAGTATGGGCTGAAGGTCAAGAGTTGCCCATGTGGACGTTCCATATGGACAACGGGGCTAGATGGGGCATTGCAACTACCAACCATGGAGAAAGTATAAATAATGTTTACAAGGGTCTTCGAGCGATGCCTATTTCTGTCATCGTGGAAATGTCTTATTGGAAGGTCAACGAGTGGCGAGTTGCTCGGCTACAGCTAGCTATAGGGAGGGAGTTGCAAGGTCATTCAATAGCACATGACGTATTTGCTCAAATGCAGAAGAACGATGAAAAATCAAGTAAGCATAAGGTTGTTCTTTTTAACCGCAGTGAAGGAATATTCGCTGTCGAAACAGGTATATGGGGTGGAGGGAGACGTGGTCACAATCGTCAAACGGTCAAATTGCACTACGAATTAGGGGAGTGTTCTTGTCAAAAGTATCAGAACGAAAGGATACCCTGTTCACATGCAATGGCGGTTGCTAAGTCAATAACCATGAACAGAAACAGCCTGGTGAGTCCTTACTACACTGAACAAGCGATACGGAACTCATATCATGCAGCTTTGAGCCCCATGCCAGATGAAGCGTATTGGCCTATATACGCTGGAAAGTTGATTATCCCACCGTTGCACCTAAAACGCACCAAAGGCCGTCCTAGAGTTGAAAGGATACACAATGAGATGGATCAAGTTGAACGGACGAGAAGGGGACCGAAGCGATGCTCTAAGTGCAGACAACCTGGTCACGACAAGAGGCGTTGCCCAGGACAACCATCAACTTAATTTGCATTTACTTGTATTCTGCTACTAAATTGATCGCTTGTTTAATTTTTAATTAACGTTTGCATTTGAAGTCCAAGTATTTTGTTAAATCAAAAATGTTTTCCTTGTCGATACGATCGCGCGGCCGCAAACGGCTCGTTATTTCGACCTCAAACGAATAAGATACGGGCGTTTTAGTTTATAGTACGCAAAAGTTACTTTAACGATACGATCACGCTTTGACGTCACTTATCTCACTCGTTTGGACTCGGAATTGGGATCTGTAAAATTCTATGCGATCGTGGTTGATTTGCCCAACTTTTTTGTGTTGAGGAAAGATACTGATTCTTGATAAAATGATCCAGAAAATTCATTCGACAACTTAAGTGCGTAGGATAGTTTTTAGACAATGCAAACTCAAATAACAACACCTAAAAATCACAAAAACAACATTGATAGTTCACTACAATGATAAAACGATAAATTCACTAATTTGCTTCGTTTTGGCCCCCATCGTCACCTCTTCCTCCTCGTCCTCCACGACGTCCTCGACCCCTTCTTCCCCCCTCCGTCGCTGCTTCTTGGCGGGCTCGCTCAACGGCTGGTCGCGGATTTCTCTTGACCCGAGCCCCAACTGGGGTTACATATGGTGGTGGTGGTGGCTGAGTTGGAGCGGTAGCTTGACGAATGATCGGAGTTTGTTGTTGCGGGGTCTGAAACATCGAACTTTGTTGCTGATGTTGGAATTGAGAGAACCCATGAGAGAAAGTGTCCCATTCCTGAGATCCCCCACGACTCGATGAGCCTCCACCGGCATCCGCTGTAGGTGCCCACTGGTACTCGAACGGTTCGGGGAGCTCGGTTTCTTGAGTGGTACGCACCTCTTCGAACGTAGGCAAAGGCCTGCGTTTGCTCCTTCGTGGAGGCTCAACCGGGGGCACAATGGCTGCATCATCACGGAATGAGGGTCGTGCCGGGGCAGGAACGGGAGGATAGGCCACGACATCCCTCCTTTGCTCTCTGGTGCAACTCAGGAGGTTATTCATAAGTCGGGTCAACCAAGTAGTCTTCCGCTCATCCATGGTTGGAGCACTTTCGAGAGTGTACTTCGCGTGTTCCAAACCATCAACCTAAGGAAAGCACAAAATATATCAAATTAACTAAGCATTAAAATAAATATATTTAAGAATGAGGGAGATTAGGATGACTTACCACCGAACCCATCACAGCACCTTGCTTTGACACCCATCTCAAGGTGAACTTCCGATACCACTGCATGTACCCATCGTGGTAGCCCATCGGTCTCGTCTCCGGCATCCCTTGCACCACCCATTGGGATCGATTCTCCCAGATGTTGATGTAGAATCCATGCTTTAGCGTCCAGTTTGCATTGTTTCGGAGGTCCATAGCATGTAGCTCCTTGAAACCTGCTGGCGGGTCTTGTGGAATTGGTTGCTCCATTCGATACTGCCTCAGGGATCGATCGGGTAGGTGCCATTCCACAATGTGCCAACAGATCAATGGCACCTTGCACAACCACGTCTCGTGATCCAGAGGGTGCCTAAGATGATGCAGCTCAACCACTTCACGTGGATATGGATCCCATATAACCTAAAATCACAAAAATTCGGAATTAACGACCATTTACTTTGATAAAATTGATCTTGTTCAAATATGGACAAAACATGATTACCTGATTCCACCATGGTTTATCTAACTCAGAACGATAAAACAGTAACGAATGCTCAGGCTGATGGTCATTCGTATTTGCTCCTATCCACCTTGTAAGTAAAAGTACGGAATCAATTTAAATTCAATTTAAATCTAGCTGAAGCATGTAATCAAAAGTTAAATTGGGCTAAGTACGGAATAAATTCAATTTAAATCTAGCTCAAGCATGTAATAAAAAGTTAAATTGGGCTAAGTACGGAATAAATTCAATTTAAATCTAGCTCAAGCATGTAATAAAAAGTTAAATTGGGCTAAGTACGGAATAAATTCATTTAAATCTAGCTCAAGCATGTAATAAAAAGTTAAATTGGGCTAAGTACGGAATAAATTCAATTTAAATCTAGCTCAAGCATGTAATAAAATTTAAATTGGGCTAAGTACGGAATAAACTTACTTGACATCGTAGGGGAGATTTTGCAGAAGGTTGAGCTCATCATCGTTTCTCAGGTATGGACGTGGGTCGAGAGGTGCGAACATTGGAAGATGCTCCCATACCCACAGTTGAACGATGAACATCGCAGCACCAGCTTGCTTTGCCCCAACCCTCGAGCAAGTACACAGCTCCCGGTATACGCCCGCTAGCACGGCCGATCCCCAACTCTTCTCTCCAATTGCATCCCAGTCACCGGTGAGCAATGGCAACCATATGCCTTGAATCCACCGGTTGGACTTGTCGGGGAACAAAAATCCACCCACCAAACCGATGAGGTAGATGCGGGCGTAGCGCTCGACTTGTTCTTCCGGTGTCTCGTCATTGATTTCCACCTCTTGCTGGATGTGAGATACCAGCCACGGGACCGACACTTGCCCCGCATTCAACGGTGGATGCCCCCGTCCTTGATTTGGTGTGGTGGTCGGCATGTCGAAGCCCAAACGATCACGGATGAGCGGCCCCCAACCTCCTTCGGGTTTGGTTGTGTTCCCAATGATGGCATCTCCAGATATAGGAAGCCCGGTGAGGATCGCCACGTCTTTGAGGGTGATCGTCATTTCCCCCTCCGCAAGGTGGAATGTATGGGTTTCGGGACGCCATCGTTCCGCCATTGCCGTAAGCAGCTCGTTGTCGATCTCGATCCGCAAGAAATGGCGCAACATTCCCAAACCGGTCCTCGCTATATAGGGCTCCAACCTTGGATGCCAAGCGGGCAAGTTATTGGTCCCTTTATGAACCACGGGAACAAGAGATTCCTAAAAAAAATAGGAAAAACATCAATTAATTAGATTAAATAAAGCAAAATAAAACATTAGAAAATAATAAAATAAAGCAAGTCAGTTCATCAAATTACCGGATTGTTATCCCAAATGGCACGGGAGCGATGCATTTGCTGATCGGTTAATAGACTCGCATCCCTTGGGCCATAATGGATATACAATCGAGGATCGTATATCTCGGCACCCATCTATAAAAAAGTAATATAATCAGAGATTGTTTTGATAAAAAATAAATCAAATTGTTTCGATTAAAAAAAATCACAAACCAAAAAACCTACACGAAGAGCCTCTTCGTCCATTATTGGCGGAAGCCGGACAGAGGTTCGACGGGTTTAGCTTTGTAAGGGACGGGAACTTAGCGGGACGGGGGCTTTAGGGTCAAACTCTAGTAATTCTTTCTGATGTGGAAGATCGGACTTAGCCGCAACCACAGAGCATACTTAGAACGAGACTAGAGCGGATAAATTGAGGGAGAAAGAAGTGAAATGTTTGTGGGGTGAGTTGAAAGTGAAAGGGGAAGGGGGTATTTATAGTTGGGGGAAGGGGGGGAGGAGCTGCTGCGCAGTAAATGTGGGGGAGCATTCACCGCGTTTGATGAACGCGGTGAAGTCCTCACCGCGTTTGATGAACGCGGTGAAGGACTGTCCTTCCCCAAATCCGGCTCCCCGTCCACGTGGCTTGCTGTGAGGCGTCGGATCGCGGGAAGAAAACCACGATCCGCGCCTCACCGCATCTAACGGCCACGGTGAAAACACACTGAGGCGGATCGCTGACGTGGCAGACACGGGTTATTCACCGTGTTTGTCTAACGCGGTGAATACCCCGTGTCTGCCACGTCAGCTACTTCACCGCGTCCTAGAAAAACGGTGAAGTCTTCACCGTTTTAGTTAAAAACGGTGAGTACTTCACCGTTTTAAATTAAAACGGTGAGTACTTCACCGTTTTTGACAAAAGCGGTGAAGCCTTCACCGTTTTAAACTAGTACTCACCGTGTTTGTCAAACGCGGTGATGACCTTCACCGTTTTAGACAAAAACGGTGATGCTCAAACATGTGTAGTTTTGGAATTTTTTTTTATAACTAATGTATTTTGGGAATTTTTTTTAAAAACTAGTGTACTTTGGGATTTTTTCCTCTATCTACATCATCAAAGTGCTATCGTTTTCGTCTAAAAATTTTAGTGTGAAGTGTGAACTGTGAAGTGACAATTCTCCAATCTCCATACGACTCTTTCTCTTGTTTCTTCTGAACAAGTAAAAAAAAAAAAGGAACAATTCTAAGGCTCTTCTTCTTTCTTTCTGCCATTTCGCTAAAACAAAGTAGATCTCTTTACCTCCCTTCACTTCCGCAGCTTCGGGTCGTTGTTTCGATCGTTGTCTACCGAATGAAAAATGGCGACCTTGGGTAGAGCAGGAAGGAAACAGCAAGGTTTCTTTCGAGGAGTGTTCGACCGTAACAAAAATCGAGCACCGCCGCCGGCGTTTCTTCGACTTCCCACTTCCCGGCAGACGTTCCGTCTGGTTATAGCTCTTCTCGCTTTCATCGCTCTCGCCCCACCTGTTTTTTTCCACTTCAGGCTCCGTCGTCTCCAACAGGTAGGCGATCTCTTACATTGATTGCATAACAAAGCACTCTGTGAAATTTAAATGTATTTTTCGCGTTGTTTTGGAACAAAATGACGAATCTTCTCCAGCGAGTCATGTAGACAGAGAGCTAATTAGCGGAGGTTTTGTTATTCAGCTCCAATTAAGGAAATGCGGCTGGTTGAATCATCCTCCACTAGTTTGTGCTCATGGTGGCGATACAACTAATGCATTTCCCAACACGGTAAAGTTATCGTTGATGCTGCTGCTTGCTTGATACATCCTCTTCAACCCTCAATGACTAAAGGCGCCTTTTTTCCACCCTGCAAGTTCAAGACTGATATTATCAACTTGGTTTCATTGTCCTCGTTCCAGGTGGCAGCCTATCAGTCTGCTCTTCGTTCTCATGTAGATTGCATTGAGATTGATGTTTCGCGTTCCTCTGATGGAGTCCTCTTTGCGCTCCATGATAGGTATGTTTGTTATTCAAATAATAGTTCACTCTTTTCCCTTGATGCATCTAAAAATGGTCTCAAGTGTACGATGCTTGTAGTTTTTGTATATGTCAGAGGCTTGATTTTGAGATGTCACAGGCAGGGACTTGCAGCAGATATCTGGTAACCATACCGCTAGAGTTGGTCACTTCAGCATGAAAGAGGTTAGCATAAACTAGTTTACCTATGATGACTTTGTATAACTAATTTGCTAAACTAGTTATCCATGAGTACTTAAGACAACAATCATTTGGTATTTACCAATCTCTTCCCGTGTATTGTTTAAAAGCTGAGCATAAAGTATGCTGGAAGATCTCTATATGATAGGTCAATGTGTACTTTGCAGTGAGTGGCTTTCACAATGGTTTGCTGGAGTGACCAGCTGTTTCTTTTTGCTTTGATTCTGATATCCCCCCCGAGAACTTTTGAGGGTAGCATTTACCATTTCTTGTCCCTTAGGAACTCTAACCAAGATTTTAATATGGATATGTTGTAAGTAGTGACCGTATTTAAATATTGGTGGTGAACTGGTGATCAATCTTCAGCATAGTGATTACTTGTTGGAGGATCCTGTCTCTACCTGCTAGAGTTCTTATTGTGGCTATCTCATTGTTCCTGGCTAAGTGGACTCTCGTGTAGCTTGAAAACTTGACATGATGCCCGTCTTACTTTGTTTCTGTGTGTATGTGGTTCTCTCTTTGATGCCATCATATAGCCACTTCACATTCACGAGACTGCTTACTTTGGTTTTTTAGTTAGAGGAACTGGATATCATTCAGCAGTCTGCTCTGGAACTCGGCGAGCAAAAGATTCCCACAGTTGTAGATGCTTTGACGGTAAAAGTTCCCATTTTGCAACCGTAGTCTACTTTCTGGCAATACTTAAGGCATTCCCACAGTTTGCAATTCAAGCTAACTTGACTTGAATATATGTACCATACAGTTGGTATCAAGTTCAGTTCGGCAGGTGATTCTGGATGCAAAAGTTGGACCTCCTTCCAATGAAAGAGGACTTGCAAAAGACATCCTTTCAGCTGTGAGTTTTGGTTGCTCTCTTCCTTTGTTATTTCCTCTCCTACCTCCTTCATTTCTTTGTTGGCTTTGGTTGACGTCAACATGCCTATGGATCCATTTGTTTGTTTCTTTTGAATTGCTTACTTCGATACTGAACACAATTTTCTTTTAGAACCTGATGCAATTATGTAACAATGATAGAATCATTTTATATCAGGAAGATCTATTTGTACCTCCCTAAAGTCATATGAAATTTCCTGAAGAAAAGTATCAAATCTGTTGTCTCATTATCCAGACTGTGAGCTTTTGTAGTAAATCATTGAAATGAAAGACATGGTAGAACCCAGTATCATGGTACATTGATGGTAAAGGGTTATTCTGTGTGGCTAAACTTCCTTTGCTCCTTGTATTCCTGGTCCTCTCGTGATCTTTCTTTATGCATACTGTTTCTTGGTCCTTCTTTGCTGCATTCCATTGCAGAACTAGCAGAACCGGGTCTAGTTTTGTTCATTTAGGTGGCCACTTTGTTTGTGGACTCCTATGTCCTTTTTACTCCCTTAGTTTGTTGCTTGGGAGCCTGCAAGCCTTTTGCGGGTCTCTTTAACTGTATTTTGTTCTTGCTTGTGTACAGTTCTATTATCTCCAGTTAATAAATAGCAGTCGCCGTCATCTAAAAAAAGATGATAGCGGACTTTTTTTCTCTTGGGAAAATTTACTCGTGTACCTCTGTGAATGAATACAAATGTGACAAAAGATTGCTTTGGAAACTTTCGTATCTTACCTAGCATGTGACTATTATTGTCTGATTTATGATTTGAATTAAAGGGCTGACATTTGAATTGTCGAAAATTTTCAGGTTGGGAAAGCGAAGTGCAGAAACTGTGTGATCTGGGCCAAAAGTGACAGTCTGGCAAGGGATTTGATCAAACTAACATCAGATGTTGCGGTAAAGTAGCGTTACTTGACTTGTATCATAGAGGTGTGTCTGTGTTGGTTTGTGTCTTTGTGAACACTGAGCAATGACATGGTAGAGCCATTATTCCATTAGTGCTTAGCTTGGACACATTATTAGACGGCAATGAAAAGAAGGATATGGACCAATATGATTTACTGATTTCAATTATTGAGGCTAATATGGTTTACGATTTTAAACTATTTGATTGTGTAATGGACCAAGATCATAGCTGCAGTTTGAGATGAACTTATACCTCACCAAGATCAGCGGGTTTCGATTTGATTTTTTTCTTCTGTCGAATTGCAGGTGGGGTACATTGTGATGAAGGATCCTAACACAGGTAGGAGAAGCAACTTACTAAGGATGAAGGAGGCTCGAGTGGTCGGTGTTTACCATCCACTGGTGGACGAAGGGCTAGTGAGGATTCTCCAAGGGTATGCTTCTGCAGTTTTCTTAGTTTCGCTGCTTGATCTGAATTGGAAGTCTTTGTTGTTGCTTGTTGCAATAATGAGAAATGCTAATGATCGAAAACAGGAGGCAGAAGAAGGTGTATACATGGACTGTTGATGATGTGGAGTCAATGCGGAAGATGTTGGTGGAAGGAGTGGATGCAATTGTTACAAACCAAGCCAGTTTGCTCCAGCGGCTCATGCAAGACATTAGAGGTGAGTGTCGGGAGGAAGGTTTTTCTTTGCCAAGATGATAACAGTAACTTGAGTTGTAAGGTAGCCATGGAAGTTGTGCCGTCCCCGTAAGTTGGACAGAGGCAGAGTACCCTTGAACTCTTCTTGGTACAGTGGTGTTCAAACAGAGTGGTTACCGTGATAGTCATTTTAAGTGGTAGTATATTGATAGTTTTGTTTAGTTAATTTGGATAATTTATTTTATTTAGTTAAACTTTTAAACTTTTGTGGTTTAGATGGTTTGGTTTCATACACTTCTAATCAATCAAATCAATTAATCAAACTAGCTTATAAGTCGGCCCGTTGGACGGAACGTTTGTATTTGAATATTTATATTTTATGTTATGTTTAACTTTATTAATTCGTTTAATTTTATTGGCAATCCTTCGATCGAGATGATACATAAACAATGAATGTATATGTTGAATATTTGAAGAAATACCATCAGCATTTAAGTATATAAAAATGTATCATTAATCCAATTTCATAATTATAATTAAACTCCCGTTAAAATGTTATTGATTAATTAATTGTAGGACATATAGAGTATAAAAGCCTGCTGGAATTCCCACACGACACATAAATAATTGAAAACTAAAACTAAAATCTCATAATCCTACATAAAGGGTTCAATGCTCTCCTTTTAGGAACCACATGCCACTAATTAAAAAGAAATGAAGAGTTGTTGATTCAAGTCAACCATATACTAATAACTCAACTAAAAGGGAACCATCAAAAGTTGAGTGTAAATGACAAAATTAAGGTTACCTCCAACATACTAATGACTCGATCAAACTAATAAGACACAAAATTAGACACTACTTATCTCCTCAGTAGTTTGAATAGAGAATCAACCTTAATTTTAATAAATCAATAAATGATTCTTCATTTTAATATAGACATAGGTTGTGGTAGCTGCACAACCATAAACCTAAAGACCAATAGCCACCAATATTCGTTGTAAAACCAACTTTTTATCCCCTCTATCTGCAATCTCAAGAGACATTTGTTTCAACTCAAAATTCACTTTCTAATCCTTCTCCTGCAATTCTATTTCTGCTAGTTTGATGGACCTTCTCTATGTGGCCCTCAATTTCTCTTCCAATTGGGATTCTTGTCGACTCGCTCTTCAACTCCTCAACCTTTTCTTGTATTTGGCAAACTCATCTTCCTTTGTGGCATTTGTAATAAGCTCGGTAAAACCACTCCTCATCTCCAATTCCATCAGTATTCTCATATCCTCCTTGACTGCCTTCACTTACTCCTGATCACTTCCATGCCACCCTCTCCATTTTCATAAATATCCTCATCATCTCTCACTTCTCTCTCTTAAACTACTACAGTTTTACTTTCATGCTCAATATCCTCCTCAATCTGATCACTACCCTCGCCAACTCCCTCTTCTCTGTCTTCACCTGTTGTAGTTGAACTTTACTTGCTACCAAATCCGAACATAATTTCTTCCCCGGCTACTTCTTTTCCAAACCTAATCCCAACTCTTCTACTACAAGTTCAACATCACAACCTCCCAGAGTATTGTTGCGTGGAGGCTAACTTTTACCAATCATTGTGGCTTGCAATTATATTGATTGACACTAAACACATCGACAAAATCAACAGTGTCTAACTAATCCTAAAACAATATCAAAATTTGATCGGTGAGCTGGACCATAAGAATCGAGATAAATGAAGAAAAATATGGTTCTAGGGAACATTAGCTATGATAAAATAAATCCTGAGCGGAAATATTATACTGGAAAAATAAAATGGTGATATTATTTTATTATTTCAATATCTAACCAAATAACAAAAAACAAAATACAAAATACAGCAAACAAACAACAAAAAAGTAGATAGGGAGATAGAAAAGTACAACTGCTCGTGTTCTACCCAAATATCTATTTGATTTCAAACAAATCAAACACCCAAACCACCGTTCAAATTCCTTTTCTATATTTTATAAATCAATCACAAACAACTTAGATAAATTGGGAAGGGAATAATAGCGTACCAGTTCAACTCAATGAACCTTCTATGAAGATAAAAGCCTCACTGAAGTTGAAACCTAAGAACAGAAAGAGGAGCAACGACGCAAGAGATCTACCGGGCTTCAAACATCGTTTACACAATAGGATCAAAATAGATAGATCTTCTGCATGTTCTTCTCATGATACAACCTGAAAATAAAAGTCGTTTTTGTTATTAATAAGTAAGATAAAACCATGGGACAAAGAGAAAAAAATGAATGACTTACATATGTGAAGCGATTTACCTTGGACGAAGACCAAAAACCCATTCAAGTTCAAAGTCTGGTACAGGAAGAGAAGTAAAGGAGGACTATATAACTGATCAAACATCGTCTTCAGCAATAGAAGCATCAAAATAGTTATTGCAGTAATTTATCGATATAGGAGAGATAGAATCATTGGGCGAAATACTACAACACCTTTCAATTTAATTAACTATATACCCAGACCAAGAATAAAATAACAAAGTTTAATAACTCAATCGAATGATTTTTTTTACCGATTTTATGCTAAAGTTACCTAAATTCGCTTTGTGTTGTAAATTTTATTTATAGAAGGAAAAAAGTATTAATATCCCCATAATTGCAATCGTCAAGTTTTCTCCAATTTGCACTCCAGTACCTACCCCCATGGTATTACTGTTTCTCATAATCTTCCAATTTTTTCTAGTTATCGATCGTCAACCTTTCATTCCTTTCCTTAAAAAAACATATTTTCTACAAAATTTTAAGATTCTAATATATAAAAGGATAATGCCTATTTTTTATTCAAATCTTTTTCAGATTCTTTTATATTATCCAAACCTATTAATTTTCTATTAATTATCTTAATCTTTCATAATGCATCAATATATTAGCAATATTTATGTTATCATTAATAATTTTGTAACTCTTTCCTTAGTTAAAATATTAAAATTTTGGAAATGTTGACCTTCATGAGTATTCCAAGTCAGTATAAAGTTGTCAAGTCAATATTACTAACAAAATTACTAACTGAAAGTTAAGATTTGGCTAATTGTTAGTATTTCGATAGGTTTGGATAATATAAAAGAATCTGAAAAACTTTGAATAAAAATAGATATTATCCTATAAAAAATTCTTGTACCAGTTCAAACAATATGTAGATTAGTGGTCACCTGAATAATCTGATCGAATTTTTATCTTCCAATCTAGTCATGACTTCTTAAACCAACTGAGGTCACAATTCCTACAAAGAGCCCACATGCAAATGAGCAACTTGGCATTTATTAGTCATACAAAATCTCAATCCAAATGCATGTTCTTCTAAACTTTTTTGCTTCTTCTTTGTATGAGATGAGATCAGTTGACGCTATGATAGTGTTGCTAGAACGCAAATAAAGTTGACTACCGATGGATTGGGATGGTTTATGAGATGGTTGAGCCTTGTATTGCCGCCTGTCGAACCTAAAGGAAGAAGAGACGGTGAGATAGTCAAACATGAGATTTTTTTATGTTTGTTGCTGTAGGGTTTGTGATTGGGAAAAGGATGCCACGAAAATGGAGCTAGAATACGATTTGTTGAAAACGATGTCGTTTTGAAGTGGTCCGGTGCTCGGATTAGTTGGTTGAATGAGACGAATTTCTTGATTTCATTGGGTTTTCCAGGGTTTGGTCGGCCCAGGTAGATAACCGATTGGGCCTTCCGCACTTAGTACAATACTCGGGTTTGTGAATAATTGGTTCGATCGGCCGAGTCAAACTCGGGTTGACAATCATGGTTATGAGTCTTGTCTTTGTTGGAAGATACATTAGTTCAACTCCCAATTTTTTCTATTTTTCTATAAATAATTTTGAAGACAAAAATATCATTCATACTTTCAGTCTCAATATAGAAAATTTGAAATGAGGAAACAATTTTCTCATTCCAGTATTATATATTGTGTAGAGTGTATATGTAGACGTGTCTTTGCCCAACATATTCATTAACACATAAAAAGGGTGAAATGAACAAACATATTAAACTTAACCTCGTATAATGATTGTTGGATCCAATCATGCCAAATTAGAAAGGGGTTTGAAACTTAGCAGTTACCAGGCTAAAACGTTCAAAGGACCAATGTCATTGAGATCGCACAAAGATATGAATATGATTGCTTCATAGTAGTTCTAAAAATTAATAAGAATTATGCATATTCAATACTGGATTTTGATATGCAATATTCGAACCATTGATATTTGAGTTGTGATTTTAAAATTATCCTTATTTGGCCCTATTGTTCTTTGTTGGTTTGTTTATGTTTGTGTCTTTGAAGTTAGGGGTTGTTTATCTTGTTGTCTCTGGTGCTTGAATGTGCCTTCGTTGTGTAACTTGTTTAACTCTTAACTCCTTATTTAATTAATGAATTTCACATTTACAAAAAAAGTTTATTAAAATAATCACAATATAAAAATTGAAGTATCGAACATCAATAAGTACTTATCGGAGTTTTACTTGGCTAGCTAACCATTGAAAAGTTCTGTGATTTCCTGATTTTAGCTTCATGTGTGTTTTTAATTTAAAGGCATACAACAAATTAATGTAGTGTGATTGGGTACAGCCCTTGTCTCTGTTTAAAGCAATCGAGGTTCAAATCTTGGAGGCAGTAAAATTATTATTATTATTATTTACTTATTAGAAAATAAGATGACATTTACTAATATAACCCTAGCTACAATTAAGGAGGACACAGAGAATTCAAAATGGAGAAAATCTCACAAAGTACTACCATATACCATATTATAATGGAGGATAGATAATTAGTCATATATTATTATATTATATATGCATATGTTGCATAACTATACAAGAGTTAATCTTTGTTTTTTTTTTCGTTGAATTTTTATTATTCGACATTCCAAATTTTGTCATTATTTGTATAATTCGTTTTCAGTAGTACTTGAATCTCCTCGTAGAGACTATCATGTAAGTAGTATGTTTGTTTTTCTGTGATAGATTTGTTAGCTCAAGTTATGCCATTGGTTATATATATATCT